CAACAACAACAACAAAAAATTTCGCAGAAATTACCAAAAGACCTTGACTATAATGTCACGAGTTCAGATAAGTAAAGTTTGTTATTGGTATGAGGCAAAAATACGAATTTCCATTATCCAATATTGGAAATATGGATGAAACATTGAATAACTTATACTTGATAAACAATAGATCAATGGAAACAAAAGGCATAAAAATTATTCAAATTAGAAGTACAGGCCATTAAAAGACCAGGTTTATAGTAGTACTATTGCATGCATACGGGTTCGTAATAATAGATTGAATGAATGCACACAACTCCTATGAAAGATTGATAAAATTTATTTTATTGAAAGAAATACTTCAGAGTTCTTGAACTTTCCATAAAAATAGCTGTACAATTCTTCACAGTATCACACAGTACAATCAGGAGTTACACTTCAAACTACTAAAAACGTCAAACACAACGCAATGCAAAGCGCATATAAAGAATGAAGATAAGCCAGAGATATCTCAGTACTCCGACTCGCACTGAACTAACAACAACACGAAGAAAATTCTTCCGGCCACCGAAATATTTCTAGTATTTTCGGCAATTTCTCGCCAAAGCCGTTGCCAGCTTTGTGATATCTCCCCAATTTAGTGAGATAGCCATTTACTCAATGTTACATAGACGTATCCCTGTATTCTTATTTTTCTGGCAAGTTTCACTTCTCTAGATTTTCATGTTACATTATACAGAAAAATACAATATCACATATAACTGCATTAAAATAATCTATTTACAAAATTCATAACAGTATTATCATGCATGGCAGAAGGAACAAAGTTAAAAAACCATGGCCATTTTCTAGAAGAAAACTATTTCTAAAATAAAATTCTCACCAGGCATTTTTGTATTTTCATGAAAAGGGTGGACGGACAAGAATGGGGTAACACTGTGGATAGAAAATGTGTGGCAAATGCTACCACATGTTCTATGAAATCAATACAGTTTTTTAGTGTGGGATATGTTTCACAGTCATAACTGAGTGCTTAAAAAAATTGCTTAACATGGAATAATACTAACACACTTGCCAATCTACTGTACTTAAAATCAGTAGATTTTTTTAAAGAAATCTGGAGAATTCTCTCAATGACAAAAAGATTTCTTAAATAATAAAAATATATAGAAAGAAAATATACTTTTTAATAATGAATTGACTTTAAATAGTAACTAATTAATATCGGAAAGCTCAGTTACTAACTCTTAAATGCAAATAATACACTTATACAGTATGTCCACAAAAGAATGTCCTTATAATAAATTTTAATAGTATTAACTGTAAGTATTGGTTCAAGGTCAGAATTAAAGAATTACTCAAGCAGTTTTAGATAAGCACATGCACAAGTACTGCTTTGTTGTTTTCTCATTTGCAGTGCCACGTAAGCAAAATGGCAACTCTTAAGAGTAAAGCATTTTGTGTTTTGCAGTTTGCTAAAAGTGAATCTATAATTTCAATTCAAGATGTGTTTCATTTAAAGTTTAGTTATGATCCCCATGTGGCAAAAACATCCCCTGATGGTACAGGCAATTCGAAACGACCGGATGTGTTTGTAAGGGGAAAAGCAAGGCATGATTCAAAAATTTCTGTATAGGATGTAGACCCTGCTAGAGCATTTTAGTCCCAAGAAATCTTGTCATGAAATTTCGTTGACAAAGACAACAGTTTGGAAGGTTTTAAGAAAATGCTTACACATGCATCCATACTGGTTATAGTTGACCCAGACCCTTGGAAAATAGGAAAATTAGTTCTGCTGATGAAATCAAAGGGAGGTACTCGTCCAATTTGTCTATTGAAGACTCATGGAAAGGTTTTAGATAAATTAATTACTAACAGAATATTTCATAAACTCAGTGAAATTCAATTTATTAGCAAATACAGATTCAAACAGGGAAGATCAACAGACTTGGCACTGTATAGACTGGTTCAACATATAAGAAACATGAGACAAACCAGCTATGTGGCCCTGATTACTTTTGATATACGGGAAGCATTTGATTCCATTCTCTGGTCTTCCTTACTTATCGTTTTAAAAACACTTCATATCTCCAAACAGTTTTTTGGCACTTAAAAATTACCTTCAAAATAGAATCACCTTTTTTAAAAATAGGAATGAGAATGTTGAATATATAGAATTACGAAGGGTTGTCCTCAGGGTTCTTGTAGCACACCCCTGTTCTGGAGCCTCATTATTAAGAAGCTCCTAATAAAAAAGGAAAATATAAAATTTGTTTGTTACGCAGATGACATTTCTGTAATCATGTATAACGATTCATTGGAAAAATTCGAAAATTCATTTAGATTACTGAAAGATAAATTCATGAAACGGAGCAATGATGAAAAGATCGGCTTTTAATTTTTTGGTGGCCTTTACATTTACTTGATATAATGTTATGCAATGTTTTCCTTTTGGGCTTCATAAAAGATTGTGGTTTATGTTATGCCACTACGAAATGATTTGTAAAAGTTGAGACACAGAATTGAAGAGGTTATTGCTTCCATTATGCCGGATTTGTTAACAAAAGCACAGGAAAAAATTGACATTAGGTTGCATGTGTATCGAATAATTAAAAGTGCGCATATTGAACATTTGTAAGAAACACTAGGTTAGTTTACCTTAAATTTGATGTCTGATTTGTTGTAAATAGTCCAAATTAAATTGTTATAATATACCATTGAAACATTGGGACATTCTTGTGTATCGCATAATTAAAGGTGTGCATATTGAACATTTGTAAGAAACATTAGGTTAGTTTACCTTAAATTTGATGTGCAATTTGTTGTAAATAGTCCAAATTAAATTGTTATAATATACCATTGAAACTGGGACCTTCTTTTATGGATATCCCGTATTTTGTAGTATTATTTTGACAATTGCCAATTAAACTGCTATAAGGAGCAGAAATTACTTAAGTTTTCTCCCATCTATTTTTAACCGTGGAAGTAATAACTACATATCCATTTACTTCTTCCTTAAAAAATGTAAGAAGTGGGTTCCATAGGCCAACGATTCTAGATAAATATTTCCTCAAGAGATAGCCAGCATGTACATGAATATTTCAAAATTTTTTTCTTATTTCAGTATTGCAAAGATGTTGGAATTGTTTCAATTTTTCCTTTCTTTTAGAAACCTTTTCAAGATAATAATAAATATCAACAATGTGTTCATCCTCTCTTTTAGGTAATAAAGCTGCTCCTTCTTAAACTGCTAAATTTAAAAGATAACAGGTGCACCTTATAATTTGCAAATCTCAATTTACTTTTTTTAAGATGCCTGCTACATAGTCTTTAAGGCTACCATTCCGGGTACATTGTTGGCACTAAGTGCTAAGAATTATCCTGAAGAATTATGTTTTCTTTTTCAAAAGTTTTGATGATTAGCTGTGCTAATCATCAAAACTTTAAAGAAAACACAATTCTTCAGGATAATCTCCTAAGGTGCGGGCAGGAAAGTAAACTACACTTATTTTTTGAAGAATCTTAATAAAAAAAAAAAAAGAAAGAACAATTGGCTATTGTTTTGCATTATATTATTGCTTCTATCCATACAGAGGTAGAATGAAACTGTTTTAATGCAATCAATAACTGATGATTTATTTTTCATATCAATTTCTTGAACCCATTTCTTATACTACTGCAGCTGTTTTTGTCCTTGCACTTGAATATTTTTTAGCAATTTCTCAGCTGAGAAACATTTACAGTTCTAAATAAAACTGCAGCATGATCTGATGCATTCAGTGGCATGTTATGCTCCATTAAAAAGGCAAAACACGCATTCTGCATTAATAACTTTTTGGCCCTTTGTTTTCACAGATAAATTTAATTTCTTTTAAAATACAACTACCAATGCCCTTGTAAACGCACATGTTTAAGAACATTAGCCCTTCCACCATGCGAAATCAAAAAATCGCAATGATAAATGGTATGCATTGCAAATATATTAAATTTTCTAGATGAAATAATAGACGGAAAGTCACTCAGTGTACAATTAGTTACAGTGTCATCAGTTGCATTTTTTGTAGGCATAAATAACTAAGAGAAAAGAGTGCAATTTCTCAAACTATTTCTGGGAACCATGTGAAACTTATGCTGCTTAACAGCAAGACGAATGAAATAACAACCTCGACCTTGCTTTGTCTGTCTAATATAAAAAATCAATCATTTTTTTGGTGCAAATAACAAAGTAAACTACATAAAAATCCTGAGAAATTTTAAAAAATAGAGAAAGTCAGAAGAAATAAAATGCAAATCAGGAAAACGGAAATACGAATCTCCCACCTAAATTTGGAGAGTTGGCAACTCTCTAATGAGATTGCCATTATACCTAGTGGTTTAACTTCAATGCTATGACAATTAGATGTCTCTTTAAATAGAAAACTATTCAAAGATTACATGCATGAACAATGGAATAACTCAATGATCAGTGCTGAAAGGTAGTATTAGAAAGGTGGGAGCTAAGCTGGTCACTTTATGTGCTGTGTCACTTTATGTGCTGTGTAATAAAGTAGAAACAGTCATTAAATTCTTCAAAAAGTGTGGAATTTCTACTACAATGGACGGCACTGAGGACGGTGTCTTATGAGATACTGATGACGAAGTGGAAATCGACTTAATAGCACTTATATAATGCGCTCCTGAACAATGAAAAGTGAGGATGTACTTGAGCTATTTGCCCTAGATGATGAATGTGAGGATTTTTTTTGGACTTAGGGAGTGATTTTTTTTTAAAATATGGTTTTAATTTACATAAACTTGAATCTCTCCCTCTTTTTTTAAAATTTGTTTTAAAATACAACCCTCGATTTCAGGGCCTTTTTTATGAATTAACTATCATCTTATCAGCGGAAATATAAGGTAAGTATTTCATCAAGGTTTAACAATAAAAACAGTTGACATGAAAATTATCAATAGCTATTAACTTACTCTTTTATTTTTAATAAAGATGGTACATCATTATAAGTTGTGAAGAAAGGTAAATGTGCTAATAAGTGAATTGCATATGGTAGGGAATAGTCCGGTAGATAAGCCAAAAGATCATCTATAAATAGAAATAGTAACTTATTGTAATCAAGAAGTTTCTGCTACAATTTTTTCACAGTCAGATTTGTTTTTAATAATAAATCATATATGATTGATTAAAACACACACTTACAATACTCAATACAATTATTCAAATACAACATCACTGAGGAAGATAGATTAGATTAAAAAAAAAAAATATTAGAAAAAATATTTGAGGCAACTTAACAATTTATATTGCAAAATAAATATGGATTGAAAATTTCTAATATTACTTAACTTTAATATGAACTTAGTGGATTGTCTCTTAGATACCAAAGTGAAATTCCATTTCAATTTACATATGCTGAATTATGTTTGATACATTTGCAGCAAAGGCTGTGGTGATATTCTCAGAAGCAGTTTAGGTCAGAATTTTCCTCTAACTATATGTTTTTAGTTTTCTCCACTTAAAATATCCGCCGATATTAAATCAGGCCTCCTAGAGGGCTAAAAGAAAAGAATAACGCTGCACAATATTCTATTCCATTCTAACCAATCCAAGAACATATAATTCAAGCAGCAATGCATATTGCAACTGTAATAAGAAGTATGCAGTCTTGTTGTAAGATGATTATTTTGTTACTTTCTTTTTTGATGTTTTTTATTTGAGAGGAAAACATAACCGTAATATGTCCAAATAAACATCTGTTTTGTTCTGCAAAGATAAAAAGGTTGATTATATTAATCTGCAGTAAATATTCTATTTCCATAAATCTTGAATATGCTCCATGATCCTATTTGGTTGCATTCCTGAAATGCAATAGTTATAGCAGAATGACTCTTTTATATGAGAAAAGTAGCTGCTTAAACGATTTATCAGAAAACTTAATGCAAATTACAAGAATTTGCAGTTTTGACCTTGCGTTGTAATGAAAATATGCCTTAGCAGCAAATACCTCCTAGGTACACCTAAAATCAGTACATAGTCTAATCAGTTTTTATTTGTTTTAAATCTGAATTTAGTATAGAATTACAAATACTGATTAACAGTTTTAATTTATACTTGAAAATGATGTTTAACTATTTGTTTCTCATATAAATCGGCAATTCACATTCATTTTGTTACAAACATTGTCAAACAGCTTATATTTATATTCATTTTTTTAAAAATTTTATTGATTTTCTTTCCACTGTATCATTATTATTCATTAAATTACATTCATTTACATTATTATTCATTGTTCTTTCTTGCATTTTTGTGATAAAATGTCTTCCCCCCCAATAGCATGTTTTCCTTTTTTCTTTTCTTCTTTTTTTTTTTTTTTTAAATATTCTCTTTTACTATAAAAAAGGTTTTATTGATTATATTTTCATTGCACTGGATTGCATTTTGCATGTTTCAAACATCAATAATAAATACAAAAGTTACAATAAAAAGGAGAAATATAAAGAAAAAATACATTTTTGATGACGCTGAAAAATTTTTCAAATTAATACTAATATCATGAAATTTCAAGTGGGTTTATTAAGCTTGGCGGTAAAATCGACAAACACCCATAGCTTGGTTAGGTTCACATTTCTGTGAACTTGTTGACTGTAATGTCACGTGTAGCAACCAATATCCCTTAAGTCCTCCAGGTCTTTCTCCCTTGGACAAAATCCAAATATTCTGACTTTTTTTTTATATGTGCATATAAAATCTGGAACTGTCATAAACAGATAATTATCCTGTCAAATTACAGATGCTATTATGCAGGTCACCTCTGCAGAAATTTAGCTCGTGTTTTCATTATGCACAAGAATGTGAGGAATACTAAAACTACAAATGCTATTAAAATAGCGTTTCTCATTATTACTTCCCCAGTGATAACAATTTCATTCTTAATTAGATAAAATCAGATAGTATAGATGAATTAAACTGTATGATTATGCAAAACTATGCTAGCGCTGTTTGCGTATATGGAAAAATAACATCGTTAAGGAATATATTTATTATTATTTATTTATTATGTGCTCCACCATTAGGAACTACACAGAAAGGGAAGGATGCTTTTATGGAAGATGTTTTAAGGGAAAGTTACACATGGGGAAAACCTAAATAACGCCCACACAGCCAGCCCATTCGCCGGAACTCGAATCCCGGACTGAACTAACAGCATTCAGCAGCTTTTATCGCTCGGCTGCTGATGGGCCTTTGTTAAGGACTTTCTGCATGAAATTGGCCCATATGTTTGTTGTAGCTGGGGGGGGGGAACAGAAGCTTTATTTGGCTGCAGCAAAGAATAAAACCTTCGAGAATCACCAGTGTATATCGACTTCAATGATATGCTATTAGGTGACATCCAATTGACCAAAGGTATGACCCTGACTGTTATCAACACGGGTACAATTTCTTATACGAAAGTTGGAGCAAAAGGATACATATGTATTTATATTTTAATTATTAATTCTCATTTTGATTATCACCTAGGAAACGAAGAGTAAATGCTAATTTAATGAGATATTTTTTAAAAGTTAAATGTTAGTAAATGCTATAAAACTGTTACTTAATACTTTTCCCCCACATTTTTGAATTTGCAAATATTTATAACAAAAGAAATATACAAAGTAAATATATAAGAATAATTATTGATGATCTCAGAGAAATTCCAGACTTTATAAAGGGAATTAGTCTCTTTCCATAAAATAATCAATAACTGGGATATTATCACGTTTCGTCTCTTATTTTTGAATAAAACGTCTATGCAGAATGTGAAAAAATATAAATTAATATAATATTAGAATTTAAATCTGTGATTTTCAAATATATGTATACACACGGATATATGTATACATCTCTCTATATATACACAGTATTTACACATACATACATGTGTGCGCTTTTATCTGCGTGTGCATATAATATGCATATATCTGTTTGCATACACGTACACAATTGGCATACATACATCCTACACATTCACGTTTCTGCTGCATATGCACGCACACTCATTTGCATATGCATATCCGTATAGTTAGGTTACTTATATAGAATTCTAGAAAGCAAGTTAATCATACGAAACACAGCTGAAAACTTGTGGGAGGGGGATGTTTCTCTGGCCCAAATTTCGCCCACAGCCGTCTTTTTGAGACTGCAGCTCTGGCCGTTTTTTTTCAGTCACCTGTCTTCTAAGCATTAACAAATAATACTAAACTCTTTGGCTAAAATCTTAGTTTTCATTGGAGAGCCTCTACAAAATAATTGTTAGATCATATATGACAACACAGCTTTAAATAATATGGTGAAAATACTGAAACATTTTCTAATGCAAACAGAAATTAAAGAAATTTACAAACTTTATCAAATATATACAATTCATATTTTCAAATTATTTAAACAACTGATAAATATTAAAAAAGTAATCAGCTAAATTAAAAAAAAAAAATAGATTATTTCCAAGAGGTACCAAAACACATAAAAAAGAAAGGGAAAAACTGATATACGACACATGGGCATACCATTTGTTAAAACATGATCCTTCACATATTCTCTTCGCTTAGTAACATTATTTGTAAGGTACCTCTTTACTTCAGCCCTAAATTCTTTCCTTTCATCTAATCCAGCCAAAGAAAATATTGCTAGGAATTCAAGAGGTAATTTTAATATACTTAATCCTTTGTTAAGTTTTTGTGCAAAGCGATCTCTTACTTCATGACAAGGGTCCTACAACAAATCAGTAAGAAACCAAATTTTAAATCTAACAATATTCTAAGTCTTTCAATATAATAAAAGCAATAAATAACTCACATTTAAAATAATAAATGTCAGAATAATATTTATCAGACAGCAAAACTTCAATTAGAATACTGGCAAGGAATTAATTGTGTGCTGCAGGAAAAGCAACACAATAAAGGACAAACACTTTTGAATATTCAACAAGACATTATGTTGCTGAATATTCAAATGTGTTGACTGTCTACTTTTAACGATTAATTTTGAAACATTAAAAACATTCTCAGTTGAAAAATAACTTAACTATGCTTTTATAAGCAAGCAACAATAAATAGCTTATCAATATGGATTAAGGAAATTTATTTGTAGTTCCATTTCTTAGACACATCAAATAACTTTCTAATTCATAAAAGTTCAACAACTTTTAACAAGGATTAAAAGAATTTTTCTTAAGGATCAATGTATTAGGATCTAAAACAAAAGTCTGTACTTCCTCACATTAATAAAGCTGTACTTATGTATTTACTTACAAATGTAATGATAATAATTAGCAATATGGATCTAAACATTAGACTAATATTTAACCCACATTATTTTATATGAGATTTGAAAAATCTAATTTAAATTAACTTGATAATATATATATATAAATTGCATGGCACTTAAATGTTTTTATTAATAAAATCTGTTGTGTTTTGATAAGTCATACTTTTTGTGGTTTCATGGATGAAGCAATCACCTGCAAATCTCAGCCAAAATAGTTCTTTCCCTTCACTACTTATGTTCAACTTGAAATTCCAATGCCCAGCCTCATAGTTTATCCGCATTTATTGACTTACTCTACTGATCAAAATGTTTGGCAGTGTGCCATAACCTTGGAAAAGATGATGGCTTCAGCTTTAATACTAGGTAATACTCAAAAAGGGCAACACTACAAAATACAGTCTTAAAATCATAAGTTAAATAATTAAAAAATATCTGCATCAATATGCAAGAAATAACATACTGAGTCTTAAAATCATAAGTTAAATAATTAAAAAATATCTGCACCAATATGCAAGAAATAACATACTGAAGTTAAACAAGTAGGCTATACAAAGTTTAGAAAATATATGCAAATAAAGGACATCACCTTTCATAAGTGAAACCATATGGCAAGATCAGCATACAGTCTAAGATCATAAAAATTTTTTGTGATAAAAGTGTGGGTGAGTGCCTTAGTAATAGATAATCAACAATGGTGAGTAATCCCTAGTTTGGCTCAGATGTCATTTAATGCCCAAGAAACATTTATCTCATCATAGGAATGCAGCAAAATCAGTTAATATCTATGAACCATTTATCACATCATAGGAATACCCAAGAATAAGTTAATATTGAAGAATCATTTGGCAAAGCAAAAATTTTATTACTAATGTATGGTCCAGCATGCTCATTATTTCATTCAGTTAACTGTTACTGGCAAAAGAAATTACATTATTAAGATTTCTCTTACATATAAATTTGAAAATAAAGGGGAAGGGGACAGAAAGTGTGTATTAGAGTGATAACATATGTAATGATTTTTAAATGTGCAAATTTCATGATAAACATTTAATATACACTGCAGAGTCAAAATATTATGACCATCCCACATATTTCAAAATGTGATAAGTGGGAATGGTATTTAGCCGCTACTGCAGAAGGTAAGGAATCATTCTTGCACTTCTGAGAGTGATGAAAAAGGCCACTAATCTAAGAGAATTTGATAGAGGACAGATTGTAATGGTCCGAAGACTTAGAATGAGTATCTCCGAAATGGCACAGCTGGTAGGTTGTACATGATCTGCCATTTTTAGTATTTATGCTAAGTGGATAAATGATGGTGAAACCAGCAGTATACACTACGTCCAAGCATGCTCAAAGAAAAAGGATGTCAAAGACTGACCTGCTTGGTACGGCAAAATCGGCACAAGACAGTGGCTCAGCTGTCAATGCAGGTACAAGTGCAAGTGTTTTGGAACACACAGTTCAGCAGACATTGTTGGATATGGGACTGTGCAGCAGATGTCCCACTAGTGTGCCTCTGTTGATAAAGCATCTTTGTCAACTATGTTTACAGTGGGCCCAGGAACAATGAGACTGGATCATGAATAAGTGGAAGACAGTTGCCTGGTCAGATGAATCATGATTTTTCATTCATTACGTTGATGGTCATGTTGGAGTTTGCCATCTTCCAGGTGAACAGTTTGGGATGTCATCGAGCAGCAGCTCAGAGCTGAAACACCCCCATGTAGGAATATCTCGACTTTACATGACTATTCTTAGACATTTGGTACAACTTGTCTCCAGTCATCTTCCAAGAACTTGTGGCATCCATGCCAAAGCGAGATACAGCTATTTTGTAGGCTAAAAGCCACACAGTACGCTATTGAGTAGGTAGCCATAATGTTTTGGCTGTATAGTATAAAATCAATTTTAATTACAGATTAAGTCACTAAATCTGTATTTTAAAATAAATGCATACTAATCTTTCCACAGCCCTAATAATTATGCTGAGAGGTGGAACTAAAGTATTTTTGGTGTTTAAATAAAACACTACAAAAGTGCATGCAAATTCATATAAACAACAATGCAATTTCAAAATAAAAATTGAAAGTGCATAGAATAAAGACTTTAGGGTCAAATTATTCAAACATTAAAAGGATTTTTTTTAATATGATTAGTAAGATATTATTAAAACTATATTATTTGCCTTAATCTGATAAAAAGGGTATGAGAAATGGGTTAAGACAAAAACTGATATGCAGAAGACGTGTGCATACAAAAAAGTACAATATCTTATTTAGTTTACTTTTTTATAAATATTTACATAATTTATACAAATGATGTTTTATATTATGAATGCAGTAGTTAATACAATTTTAATTGACTATAATGAATTATACAAAAAATGAAAACATATTCTTACATGTATAACGAAAGCCAGATTTTGAAATTGGGTCAATGTCATAGAAGCTACATATGTAGCTTCTTGACATAGCTTAAGCATACACTTTGCTGCAGACAGCCGTAGCCAAGAATTTTCAAATGGCCTATTAAAAAAAAAAAAAAAAAAAAAAAAAAAAAAAAAAAGGCCACAGGAATGAGAACTGTTGCAAAATCAAGTGAATTCATGTGAAATGCATAACAATATAAGAAATAATAAAATAAAACAGAAAAATAAAATAGAAATAATTGGGGAAGAATCTAATACATACGCAGTATGCTGGTTCATTGATATATCTCCTCGGCGCTCAATAACAAGAGTTAAAAGTCTTAAAGTTGATGCCAGTGGTTGAACCATATCTTTCAGTCCAGCTAACCAACGAACCATAAATTTCATTCCTTCAATCTGCGCAGAAATTGCACGTGTAAGTCCATTGAATTTAAAGATCACTGAAAAACTTATGTTAATAAAACTTACCTTCACTTTAGTTTCATCAGGCAAGGAATCAAATGGTGCCCATATCTCAGCACCACCCCTAGGTAATTCCTACAATCAGAAAAATAAGAAATGTGGATTAATTTAGAATCTCAACTTATTTCATTTCAAGTCAAACAATAATAAACATACAAACAATCTACTTTCATATAAAGAACATTTGGGGCACAAAAGACCACAGAACAAGTGAAAGTTCACCATAACAGATTTTACAACTGAGCTCATGCATAATTTCAAATTAATGTTTCAACAGTATAGCAAGATATTTAAAACTGGATCTCTATATAACAAATAGTCTATGAGTTAGTCCAAAATAAATATTTCACAACTGAAGTTATATTAGATGCAAACTATTAAAAAAATATATACATAACAAAATGTGCATGCTATAATTTTATCAAAATTAATTTTCAAAATTTAGGATATGACTATATATTTACTGAAGATTTATCTGAAAGATCAAGTTAATCTGGCAAATTATGGGTAGAGACTAGAAATCATGACCTTTTGAAAAGTCAATACCATATTTAAGCCAACAATAATAATATCTCCATTTTTAATATGAAATTTAAATTTAAATTTTTCAGAAATTTAATTTTTCCTGTACTGAAGGCAGAGCTATTTCCTTTACTCCTCCTTCCTAAATTTAAACCTTTACAGAACAGAAAAATTCCTTCACAAACTGAGAATACATTAACAACGTAAATAAAATTAAACACATCTTCAATTCTTCAGACAGATGAATTTTCAAATTAAAATTACAACACAGAATGCTTACCAACGGTAAGAAGGGGGAAAACTTCAAAGGATGGAAAGCCAACTCCAGGAAGGAAAAGCAAATAATTCAGAAAAATAACCAACAGAGTTTTAATGTTTTAGTAACTAATTTCTTGTAACAATACTTTATAATTCATATGATATCAAAAAATTCAAAAGCTTTAACATATTATACATAATACTGCAATTACAACAGTCTTCAAACTGTTTATTTTGCGAACCCAGTGATTCATATATATATATATATATATATATATTGGGGGGGGGGCTTTTATTATTTACAGAAAAGCACTCATTATACTGTGGAACAAATCACATCACCGGATTAGAATTTCAGATACTGTGGAAAACAATTCGAAGGGTGCTGCAGAATAAAGTTTGAAGACTACTGTTCTAATGGGAAAAAGGCCATTAGAAATAAAATTAAACATGAAATATGAAATGTCCATAATGCAATGTGCACAAGTGAAAAGTTTACATTGCTATAAATTATTAATGCACTAACAATAAAAACATTAAACTGATAAAGATACAAATAATAACAGAAACCTGATCTTGAATGTGGTAATTTATAGTATGAATTTGTAAAGGAATCTAAATTTACTAAGTTAAACAAAACAACCAGACAAGAGTTCTGGATTAACAGCAACTGTACAGCATGCATATCTTGACATTTGCTTTATTAATGCTCATGTCACATAATTACAGCAAATTTTTATCTTACATGATTCAGAAGAGAAATTCAGTTCTATTTATTTTGGTAAAACAGAGTTTAGTAAACACATTTTAAAAAATTCCCATTTTTATTTCTATTCATTAATATTTAAAGAAAAATTCCCAGAATCCGCATTTGTAAAAATGTACGAGGGCTATCCAGAAAGTAGATTACGTTTTGGAATAAAAAAATAAACAAAGTATAGGAAACAAATTTTATTATATACAGATGAAAGCCACACTCAAATACTACTTTTCTACATAGTCACCATACAAATTAAGGTATTTATCGTAGCGATGTACGAGCTTGGAAATTCCTTCGTCGAAAAATTCGGCCGCCTGCGCCTTCAACCACTTCGTTACCTCTTCTTGCAGCTGTGCGTCGTCATCAAAACGCTGCATAGCCAGCCACTTCTTCATTGCTGGGAATAGGTGGAAGTCGCTCGGTGCCAGGTCGGGACTGTACGGCGGATGAGGAAACAACTCCCACTTAAAAGATTCAAGAACTTTACGAGTGACATTTGCCGTGTGGGGCCGGGCGTTGTCGTGAATCAACAAGATCTTAGAGCTCAACATTCCTCTGCGCTTGTTTTGAATTGCTCTTCTGAGTTTTTTTTGGAGAGTTTGGCAATACCTTTGAGAGTTTATTGTAGTGCCTCTTTCCAGGAAGTCCACCAAAATTACACCTTTTCTGTCCCAAAAAACAGTCGCCATCATCTTCCTTGCCGACATTGTTTGCATGCATTTCTTGGGTTTTTGGGGAGAACTTGTGTGCCTCCACTGCATTGATTGCAATTTCGTTTCACAGTTCACATGTTTCACCCATGTTTCGTCACCAGTAATGATGCGATCGAGTAAAGAGTCACCATCCTTATGGTAAGCGTCCAAAAAGTTCAACGCTGCAGCCATTCGCTGATTTTTTGTGGTCCTCTGTCAAGATTTTTGGAATCCATCTTGCACAAAACTTGTGGTAACCAAGCTTTTCGCTGATGATTTCGTGCAACAAACTTCGCGAAATTTGTGGAAAACTCAAAGAAAGTTCCGTTATTGTGAAATTTCGATTTTCACGGACTTTAGCATCGACTTTTTCGAGAAGTTCGGCGGTCACTATGCTGGGTCTCCCACTTCGATCTTCGTCGTGAACATTGGTTCGGCCATTTTGAAATCTTATGACCCACTGACGCACTCCACCTTCAGTGATAATGTTGTCCCCATACACTTCACGAAGCTGCCGATAGATTTCTATCGGTTTACAGTTTTTTTGCAGCCAGAAACCTTATTACTGAGCGCACCTCGCAGCTCGCGGGATTTTCAATTAACGCAGACATTTCAAACCGTCACAGTATCTGAACGGAGCACAGCACGAACCTCTCACTAGCACGGCTAGATGCAGACTGAGCTGCGCAACGCTCTGACCCCAAGATGGCCGCGCTAGCCCCGCCCCTAGCGGACACAGACGGAAACGTAATCTACTTCCTGGATGGCCCTCGTATGATTATATTTTTTAACAGTTTTAACAGTGAAAATGTAAATTAGCATCAGAAAATTCTGGAAATTCCCTTTAATGAATTGAATTCCATTGAATTTCTTCAATTTCACCTTAAATACAAAACATATTTCTTTGAATCTGATGCAACTTGTTTTTCTAACACTTAAATGTTGTTAAAAACAAGGTGCACTTTCGAATCAGTAGTATCACAGAATAATTACTAATTATTTTAAAAAATACATTTTTAAAAATGACTGTTTTAAATTGGGATATTTTTTGTTATATGCAATTTAGCACAATTACATTTACTTTTATTTTTTCAGAATTAAAATCTTTTTCTCAATACAAATGATATTAAGGGACTAAAGAAATACAGCATGTTAGTTTAGTTTCCCATGGCATGTAAAATTTAAATGCTTGAAATGTTTAATAACATGTCTAGAATTTTTTTTACACATAGTTAATAAATTTTCTGATAGGTGATTTAAAATTTTAATCTGATTTATAAATCAAAATGAATTAACACAAATAAAATATCATTACAATTATACAGGTAAAAAATAAATAAAAAATATTTTTTGTAATAATGCTAGAAATTAAACAGCAAAAAATGAAAGTTAGCACTTTATATACTAAGATCCAAATTTTAGATTGTTTTGCAATTGCATAAGTATTGTATTATTATCTTATGAAGTTTATAAACTAAAAAATATCTAATAATCAAAAACAATAGAAGTATTTAATTAATGATGTTGTTTTTAAACTAAATTTATACTTGGTTTTCATGTTTAGAATCAGTTTAGATTTTAGAAAATTATTATATTTTTGGCATGGCCTCCCCTTTCTTCCGATAGAAATTTAAAAACTCTATCAAAACAAAATTGTGAACTTCCTAATTTATATTAACTTCCTTTTATTAAGTACAATTATTAAAAAAATCCTACCACAATCTTTTTCTGAGAAATGTAAAACACATCGAACATTAAGTTCACTAAATATCCTAAACAAACATACAAGTATGTTAAACACAGAAATTGAAATAAATAAAATATCAAAAAACATTCATAATGATCTGTTACCTTATCCTTAAAAAGCACTTCCTTAACAAATGACTGCAAAATAGTTTTAAGGTCTGTAGTAAACATATCATGACAGAGATAGGCTATATGACCAAGTGAAACCAATGCTGTCCTAAAGTACTGTGATTCTAATGTCAGATGTTTTTTTAAAGTCTATAAAGAAATACAGCATGTTAGTTTAGTTTCCCATGGCATGTAAAATTTAAATGCTTGAAATGTTTAATAACATGTCTAGAATTTTTTAGTCAATAAAGGAAAATTCTATTAATATTCAAACAGCTGAATGTGCAGCAAAGACAAATTAGAAAATTTTCAGCTACATTTTAATATATAAAAGATCAAAAATGAAATTTCCAAATTTGAGAAATAAGAACAATAGAATTAATTAACAGTTTACATTAATGTACACAAATATTAAAAAAACTACAAAATTTTCACCAACAGTGAGACAATTTTAAAAATGATACATATACCCCTTCTCTGGAAAATATTAGCACCATTAACTGATAAGATTTATGCCAATGACTGTGTATGTAACTAACAGTGCAAATAATTACCAGCAACTTTTCATGTTTAGTTTTCTTTGTAGATATCATCAGCTTATGAACTGTACTCATTCATATGAATTGGGCAGATATAATTTGGGATTTGCTGACAATAAAGCAGGAGTACACTGGAAAAGCAAACTGATTAGATCTGATAATAAAATAAGCATGACGATACAACATTTTTAAATTAAAAAGAAAGCCTAATCAAAAAAGATATATATGCAAGAATGGAAAATTTTCTTTACCGCATCTTTCAGATTTAATCACATGTGGTTTCATGAATAATCAAGCACAGAGCAGAGAAAACAGAGACGACAAATAAGACTATCTTTGACTGAAATAACTATATGAAAAAGGTATATGCGAAGATTCTTATTAAGACCTTTAAATAAGCTTTGCGAACTGAATAAAATAATAGAAATTGATCAGTCTCTTCTTGAAGTGCAAAAATCATGTTAGAGGTTAAGCAGAATACTATTGGGAAAAAAAAAAAAAAAAAAAAAAAACCACCAAGATTACTTTGCACAGCTTAACAGCAGAGTTCATATAAAATACATTGAGCAATTTTAGGAGACCAAGGATGTGTTGGAACAAAAATCAAGATGTTATCTTGCTTCTTGTGCTACCACAATACACAGTTGTTTTTAACTTTGTTGTTTCATATACTTTTCAAAAACCGGGATATTACAGATTAATTTTTGTTTTATGCCCTGCCACTGTTGAATAGATATTATTTTTATTGATATTCAATAGAATTCATCTGGCAGCATCTGCATAAAAACAAAGACAGATTTATTGCTTTTTAGTAACTGCAATAGTAGATCCAATGATATTCTAATTAAATGTAAATATAATTAATTACTGAAACAATACATTTATTATTCATCAACTGAAATTATATTTTTCCCTTCTGTATTTTTAAAACGCATTTTATTACATTTGAAACCTAATGCAAATGCTGGTGGCCATTAAATATTTTGGATGGCATAAAATCTGATTAGCAGTTGATGGTGCAGACATTTCAAAGCATGGGATAATATAAATGAAAACCTTAAAACATGCCCTCTAAAATTAAAGCAAAAATAAAACTTATTGCTTATATTTATTAGATATCATACTTCAGAAACTAAGATACACAAAAATGTTTGTTTGCATTTAAAGAGTAATTTTTTTCTACATGCATAGAAAATAACGTCTAGATTATTTCAAAATAAATTACATATAACAACAAAATCTGCCTTTGGCAAGAAGAAATGTAGTAATTTGACTTGGGATACAGTATATTTTTTAATGCATTATGCACACAGTTTGAATATGCATTACTATAAACATGATTTAAAAATCAAAATTTTTAATTTTTTTTTTTTTTTTTTATAATTCCGTTTAAAAAAAAAATTCAGCGTTTCTTCAAAAGCAGTACAGCTAATGGTGGCACAGTGCACATATCCAAATGACACCTCTCCCATCAGAGTGGAAAGGCTTGATATTGATAAAAACATGATTTTAAATACACCCACAGCTAAAAATCCCCTCGGTTCAGATCTGAAGACTTAAAAAGACATGGGAACAAATTTACTTTTTAAAATTACAGTTCTAATCATGTAATCACCTACAAATTCATTCTGCTTCATTTCTATTTTACATTTCATTTAAATATCTTTGGTTTTGCTAACATTTCATTTTTTTTTCCTTCTCACAGTCTCTTAGTATGGCACATTTAACTCCTGTGGGGCAGTCCTAGTCTAACTCATTATATTCTTGCTACTGCTTTACTATCATCTAATATTTGACACGTTTGATTTCACTTTCTTAATTATTAACTTCTCTTTTACATGGCGAATGGTTCAGCTGCTTCTGCTATACTTCATATTTTGAAACTTAGAAGTTCACTTTTGATTCTATCTGCCAATAAATACAAAGTAACTATCAGTTAATTTTCAATCTAATCATTAGTTAATTTATCTTATTTGAGTTGAATTAAACATATTACATGGCAAACTTTCTTCTTTTCTATTCATATTTACAAAGTATCCTGTAAATAAGATTTAACTTAAAAAAACCACTAACGTTCTTTATGCTAAATGATATAAACTGCCTATCTTCTGAAAATTCACAACCAAAGAGGATAAAACTGCTGTTCTAAGGTATATTTATGCTTTCTAAAGTTTTATATTTCTAGACTAAACATTAAAAAGTAACTCATAAAAACAATTTTATTAAAAGTATTCATCACAGCCAGAACATATTTAACCAAAACAGATCCAAGAAAATCAATTAACTGCTTGTAAGTAAATAACACCAGGGTTGGGAAATTCTAAAAAGTAAACAACTTTTTTACAAATAGATACATTTCCAGTCCTCATACTCTTGTTTAAAACTTTTTGCAAAGCAAACGACACTAACTCATGATAATGTTAAAAAGGCTTTACAACAAAGCTTTCTCAACATTTTCCAGAAACAAGTTATTTGCAATGCTCAGCTGTTTGAAGAATGGCTGGGAACACAGGTTTTTCAAAACAGCCAAATCTGTATATTTCTAGCATAATCTGTTGACTACACCACTCGTTCACAAAAATTTAAATACCCTCTCTAGTAGAAAGAGAAAAAGAAAGAACAACTAATGCTTAAATTTTGTGCTCATTTCTTAATATGAGCCCTTTTTTATAGTTGAAAGATATTACTGACTTTTTGCCATACAAAATGGCACTTGTTGTTTTTACATAATCTGGCTTAACCAGCCATTTTATTACTTGTTCCCATCATGATTGAATAAGACAGCACCTACTGTTATTTAAATTTCTAAAGCTGCATGAGCAACAATTTCAAAATACATAATAAGCATATTACCTTGAGAATATTTCCAAAAACTGTTACTCTATCTTTAACAATGGCAAACATATAGCGCACAGCATGCTTAGCTTGTTTGGGAGAACCAACCTCAATAAACTGTTCAAGAATAGGCAACAGCTTCCTAAAAATACAGCAAGATTTATAATATCATATAATCATTAAAAGAAACAGCTATCCAAACTATTGCATAAATTTTGCATTGCTATTTTAACTATTGCATAAATTTTGCATTGCTATTTTAATGTCCACATAAATAATAATTTAAAGTATGTAACATGAAGGTACAACAATCTTTCATGAAGACACATAAAACTCATAAAGTTTTCAGTCTCCTAGATTCAGTATATTAAATAGTTCAATATTCTGGAAACACTGTGTAGTTCAAGTAATACACAAATTGAATGTTTTAAATTTGCAAACACACAATAATCTCTTTATTTATAACAAAACATGGATAGTATGCAATAGTATATGTCTTAAATAATGCATTAACATAAGTCTAACCTATAACTGTTGATTTAAAAATTGTAGACACATTATTAAGAGAAAACAAACAATAGAAATATCAGTGATGTGTTAATGAAATCACACATCAAGCCATAACATTCAAATATTTTTATTAATGATCTGATTAACAAAGCAAATTATACTTTATAAAAAAATATTTCTTTTTCCTAATACTTTAAAGGCTACACAAAAAAGTGTGAATGCACAGGATAATTTGCTGCCAAAAAATGAAACATTATTTACCTCTAGAAATAATCTGAATCATTTGAAATTAACATTCACAAAAAAATAATTTTTAGCTATTAATCTAAGCAGAGGTATTACTTAGATATTAAGGCACAACTGATTTTTTATACTGAAAAATAATAAAAAATAACTATAATCTTAACAGATACTGAAAAATAAGAAGAAAGTTTATTTAACACATAGTAACACAAATGCACTAAGCTATCAGATTTATTAAGAAATAAGACTGAAAAATAATTACTTTGAATTTATTCCAAACCTTAATTTTACAGCTTAAAAATTTGGATTAAAAGTGCAGCTCAAATTCTAATTCTGTAAATTAAGATTTGAACTATATAAGTTATGACAAGATTTAATAAATAAATATATCTAAGGTTTTAGAATTTGTTAAAATATGTATGTTTCACATCCGTGGAATAATACTATTTTGTATATGCAGAATTCAACTGAAAGTTAAAACATTCAGAGAACAAACAGAAAATCTTAATATCTTTTAGTTAAATCTGAAGGTTCAATAAAAATTTCAACAAATCTGGATGATCTGTTTGAATAAATATTATGTTAAAAACCTTACTATGAAAAAGATAAGTGACAGTTACTTACGTATAAACATTCGGAGAAAGCATTTCTAAATCAACTGAACAATTCAGAAGAATCTGAAGCACTACGTCAGCAGCACTTTCATCTTCCACTTGCAGAAGCAACAGCAAATCATTAAATATTCCAGTATCGCAAAAAGCTGACGGAAATGAAAATGAAAGAGCCTGCAAATGTTTCAATTTTAAAAATGAGAAGTATTAAGTAATATATAACACAAATACTTTACAGCAAAACTGCATAATTTAATACTTATTCAATCAAATGCGTATTCTGAATATTTTTGAATGTACTACTTTACAAGAACAAATAAAAATTTTTACAACAAATTCATAATTAAGTTATTAAGAACTAAATTGCCAGAACAAAACTCTTGAAATAAAAACCCCATCCTAAATGAAGCATTAAAAAAGTAACCAACAGTTAAACTGTTTTCATTATTAAAATATATTTTTTGGGGTAGTCAGAAAATTTTCCCTTTTCTTCAGGCCAAAAGTGCATGGATTCCAATAAACACTGCACTTCTACAGATATGACTGCAACTAACTTAAACCTTCAGTTTGCCTACTTATAAAAGATTAAACTTATTAATATTAAACACCTCATTCTACTTGGCTTCCTTTTCCCTCCAAAACAATTCAGCATAGAAATTAATAAAATTTTCTTAATATGCACTTATTCTGCAAGAGTGTGTAGATATTATCAAAAATATTCTATTATCATTCCTTCTTTTTTCACTTTTCAATCTTATTTCAGATATTACTATATTACTTCTCACACATAAGAAACAAATCATCATCAGAATGATTGAGGTATAAATCATGAATTTAAACATACACTGAATCAAAGTTTATTCATGTCACAGCTTGCAATGAATCATATATCAATCATAACATGTACCTAAAATTAAGCTTCTCTGCAAGCCTATAAATAGATGGAGACATGTTTAATTTTTGTCCTACCTACAGAATTAATAAGAATGAGTTTGGTTGTAAAAACCAAAATCTTGAACTGCTACTGATTAGCAACCACGTGCATTAAGCAAATTAAAAATTCTAGTACAAAAACTCAAGCCATGTTTGAAAAAAAGTATTGTTCCCTACACAGCATACAGATATTTTTAATTTGACATTAATTATGCCTTGACAGAGAAAAAAGCATAAATTGCTGAGTGTCTTCCTTTTCTGATCACCGTTCCAAATGAAATCACCAAAATGAAAGCACCAATTTCATTGACATATACGGTACAAAGTCCAGCATTTCCAGACTGCCTCCCCTCTCATTTTTTTTTTAATCCCCCTAGAAAGTTTAGGAAGAGATAATATAATACTCAACAAAAGAAAGCAGGTGTCCATAAATGAGGCTACTGCAGGCCACTTTCAAACAAACCTTCTTCTGGCTAGAGAGTTATAACGGCATAACGGCCAATGACATTATATTCGATTGATGTGATCATACTTTCCACCCTTGAATAATTGTAGGAGAAAGGATTAGCATTTTTCTTTTATCTATGAAGAACATCTCCACACATCATTTTAATGGATTTATTAGGCACAAAATGCTATTTAAGCAGAGACGCTTGATACCTGACAACTCAACCTGAAGAAGTACTGGATTTAAACTGAGAATCTAAAATCGGGAAATATCCAGATCGCTGAGGTCTTATGATTCTGGATCTCTGGCTTTGCATTGTACTAACTCAAGCACAAAATAATCTATTTACTGCTTTTCATGATATTTATTTTTATGCGATCCCCACCACTTAATGACTGAATACACATTTTTAAGCCTCACTGTTTTCTGGTATAGAGATAAAAAGAAACACTTGTTAAAGACCATTTAAAATTGCAGATTGTTTCATTTTTAATGACAGACCAAAATAGGAATTTGAATACATTAAATATATAAATTAATTCAAGTATAAAAGGCATTATGAGTTGGATTCAGGTAAATCCTTTAATTTCAATCAAATTAGACAGCTTTTGAGCAATTTATGTGGATAGATGAATACAGAACTTCAGAAAAATCTGCAAGAGTTGTCATAGAAAAAAAATTTTCATAAACTCAATGAATATATATTGAAACTTTTCCCTACATCTGCAGCAGCTGTAGTTCAGTCAATATTATTTATCCAGAGGAATACAGAATTTCAAAAACAAATATAACAAAAATTTATTCATATTTTAACTTCTAACTTACCAACAACAATTCTAATCCCCTTTGAGAGGAATTTTGAAGCCCTAATTCAGCTTCAAGGGCACAGTCTCCAATTAAACTGTTTTTTACTAATTTCACAAGATGCTGGATGCCTTCTTGATCTACCATGACAGGAGCAATTCTCTCTAATAGTTGTTTGATGATTACATAATAAGTATTGGTCTGTACAGGATTGCCTAGCATTTTCAAGACTTGTTTCTAAGTATTTGAAGAATATAAATTAAATCAGAAAAATAAGTAAGCTATTTTCAAAAAAGAATTCTAAAGATTAAGAAAGTTGGTTTCTAAATTTCTTACTAATGTTACATTTAGTTTTTTAGAAATTAAACTTGGAAAATTTAATTGGAATAATTTTTTAAATTACATATGGAAAAATAATGTAGCAATTCCATTTATCCTAGCTATGCAAGTATAGCCCATATAAACTGAATATTATACCAAAATGTTTACAAATGTGAAAAAAAAAAATAATACCTGCATAAACTAAGGGGGGGGAATTACACTGCGCAAAAAAGAGGGGGACAATTCTGTATCTCCCGTTCTACTGGGCTGATTGACAAAATTCAAATTGCGTTTTTCATGTCTTGAAAGCGCGACTTAGGATATATATTAGATTTATATATAGCATTGTTCTAACATAGGTATTTTGTTACAAAATCAGACTTTTTCAAAAATAACATACCAATTTTTTTCCATATTTCGATTCTACGACTCAAATTATGCCTAGATATTAAATTTTGCAAAATTTGGTCCAAAATTTAAGGAGAAATTCAAAAATATATCTAGGCGCAATTTTTTCAGTTTGTGTCAAGAATATTTGAATTGGCGAACTTCTTAATATGTGGCAAACGAATTTCCTTATCCTTCCATTATGCCGGAGCGGGAAAAAAGGCACCTCTTTCCTATCTTTTTACATTGTAGATGAGGGGGGAAAAGTCACATCATTCTTACTTTCAAATAATTTTAACAAAGTGCGCAAACCACATTTTCGTTATTATCGCTTTCAACAAATATGCCAAATTTCAAAATGCGACTATATATATATATATAAATTCACGTATATCTTCGAAAATTTTGAATAAAAAGCTCTAATTTTTTGCAGGTATGCTTGAAAATACATCTACTTTAAGATGATTGTAAAAATTGTATAGGTTATAATTCAAAAATTTTTTCAAAAAATTTAGAAAAATTATTTAAAAATACACATTTTAAAAACAAATCTTAAAAATGGGTGAATTTTATTTGGAATGAACCTAAATTTCCAACTGTGCAAGAAGGAATCAAATAAGTTTAATAAAAAAAAAGAGTTATTAATGAATACATACCGAATTGAATTAACATTGAGGAGCTAAAATTTTGAGAGCTAATTTTTTAAAACTAACTCTTGGATTTTTACAAACTTGTAGTTTGGCGTAATTTGAGTTGTAGAATCAAAATATGGAAAAAAATTGGCATGTCATTTCAGAAAAAGTCTGATTTTATGTCAAAATACCTATGTTAGAACTTTATATTATATTTAATACTTATCCTAAATCGTGCTTTCGAGACATGAAAAACGCAAGTTGAATTTCGTCAATCGGCCCAATACAGCGGGAGATATAAAACTGTCCCCCTCTTTTTTGTGCAGTGTTCATAATTTTTGATGGTAAATTTCAAATGCTCATTTGCACACACATTTATTTGCATGCATGCACACATGTATTTTAGAAAAGTATTTTTTTTAATCTTTGAATTTCAGTTACCGTTTGGTTTTCCTATTTTTCAGCAAAACTAAACTTGAATAAGGTATAATTGAACAATTTTAATGAATCCATTTAAAATACAAGAAAAGACAGACTTGAGAATTATCACTTTTTGCAAAGCATCTTAAGTCTCAACTGTAATATTTATTTGCAGTCCTGAGAAACACTTGTATACTATCTAAAAGTATGGCTATATTGGACACTGCTGTGGTCAAGTCCATAAAGTACAGGCATGAAAGTGCAAGTTGACAAAAAAAGCTGAACAACGCACGGACACAAAATTTAATGCTCACGCGCGACCTCAAAACCACCTTTTAACATAAAAAGTATTAAACATATACGTATAATTAAACTAAAATAATACTTGTACTTACTATTTTGCTATTAATTCTATCTTTCACTTATTAAAAAATATCAGTAAATCACCAAGAGATTGTAATGAATTAACCTTCTTTAAGATGCTCTTGATGTAACTTAAATTTAACAGTTGATACATGAATACTGTACACAACATTACAGTAATATACATATTTATGTTATATATTACTGCCCATTTTCAGGCAATGACAAGTTTTAGAGATAAATATATATACATAACTGCTATTATAGCTTTCAATTATCTTCACTTTTAGTTCAATAAACAGTACTTTATATAACACCAGAAAAAGTAGTCATATGAGATAATATAGTTACAAAATAACATATAGTTAAAGAAGGAATATAAAAAAATAACTATTTTGTCTCAGTCTCACTCGATCCTGATTAAAAATTTTTAGGAAAAAAGCTTTTTCTTTTTTGCTACTTTTGCAGCCAACTTTTCTAATTTCCATTTGCGAGCTAGTCTCAATTTCTTTTCAGCAACTTTTATACAATCCATTGATGTTTTTTTTTTTTTTTTTTTTTTTTTTTTTTTTTTAGATTCTTGCTCCTTCTTTTTTATCTCTAGCTCTTCTTTGTACAGTTTATGAGCATTCGTTAAATTTTTACATAGAGTTTTATGTACTGGAGAATGCAAGTGGTCACCCCTTTTAAAAAATTCCAGGGCTGACTTTTTGCAACTCAAAAATTTTGTATTTTACTGTTTGTATAGCAGACAATGTGTCTATACTCATAAATGCTCGACCACTACTTTATTGTGTTCTGTAGAAAAGTAGCTAGCTAATATGCACAAAACTCTCATTCGATTACTACTTGAAGCTTCATCAATATTTAATAAAAATTTAAACTTTTTAAAATTGTTCACAGTTTCATTGAAAAATGTTTTTGAGAGGCCTAATCTCATTTTATATGAAGCAGTAGTGCGAGCCATTGAGAGCTGTGATAGTGCCTTCTTATCAGATGCCATTGCTTTGCCCAAATCAATTATCACAGATGCTACAGTACAAGGCAAATTATTTTCAGCCATAAATCCAAGCAGTTGACCCTCTAAGCTGGGAAGTTCGATCACAAATTGGAACTGCTAATTTTTAATTCTATTTTTCTCTCCTGCATGCTTACGTTTGTGTCTGTCAAAGATGAATATGATGCATCCCATAATTATCTTTTTTCACTACTTCTCTCCCACAATGCTTTTTGCTTTTGACATGGCTGCTAATAGCAACATTTCCCCTTTTTCCATAATATATTAGATCAGAACACAATGCACACTTCACTTTTCCACTGATATCCACTTTCTGAATTCAACTGCCAATGACCACTTCCATTTCTTGTCCATTCACATGTATTTTTACTATGTTTTTCAGCCACGCAAATCTGAACTTACTTTTTTCTTCACTATCTATATGCCGAGCTTTGTGCTCTTGATTCGGATTTAAGATATTCATACTGAAAAACTTACAGCAACAAACAAAAATGAAATAACATAACAATCTACACTCCGAATTACAGTATGCCACTTTACACACGCTAAAACTCGCACATGCTCTGGATAATATCATTAAGTTATCCGTATGTCCGACAGATGGCGCCAGCACCGATCGCTGAAATTATTGAAGCCAGCTCTCGTTTGACAGTTGCTTGCTCTTCTTTGATTCGATATTCGTATGCATCTAGTTCCGCCTTTCCACATAAGCCCCACTTACTTCGCTTCGATGTGAAACAACGCATTTCGCGATCTCTGGCATGACGTAAAGTTTTTTTTTTACAAAGAAAAGAAGAAGGGAGAGAGCATGTCCTCCGTTTAGCACCCCCATCCCCCCACATTTGCCGGTCGCGATTTCTCAACGGTTCTGCATCAACTCAGAAACAGCCCAGGGTGACGCTCAAAAAAGCGGAGTTCCGTGAAAACGCGGAAAACTTTCATGCCTGAAATTACAATGTTTAGACAAATATATTAATTTAAGCAAACTGTTTTTTTCTTACCCTTAAACACCTACTGCCTGCTTTATATCAACAAAAATAGCCCATATACTTCTTTTAAAACTTGGAAGATATTTAAAATTTGTACATTTCTTGATTTTAGCAGCCTTGACAAGTTTATGAAATTGTTCAGTATATGCCCAAGGAATGCCTGTTCATGCGCATTTAAGTAACACAAATTTTAAAGCATTTAGAGTCAAATTTGTACCTAACACATTAATAATAACAATAAAATGGAAATAGTAAATCCCTTCTTTTAAAATACATAAAAGTTTATTAATTTGGCAAAATGAATGTAGACATAAAGCTACAATACCACATTTCAATGTTTAACAGAATAAAATTAATAAAATATCAAATTCCTGTGTTTATTATTTTTTAAAGTTCTTTAGATCATTTCAGATATGTGAATATATTCATTATTTTGCGAAAAATCTTCTATTTGAAAGGAAATGGGATATATATTTCAGTATGCATGAGATTAATGCAATCTTTCAGGGAAGGTACATATGAGTAGTGACATAAGAACATAATATGATCTTTCCTCTGTGTTAGATAAAATTAACCTTTTCTCACAAATTTTAACAATGCATTACCAAACTTTAAGAAGTACTCAGTTCTCTCAAGGTTAATTAAAACAAAATCCTCATAATATATTCTTTTATTACTTCTTAGTTTGGAAACCACATTAACATATGTAAAATTCCATTAGTAACATATTTTAAAATACATAAAAGCATATAATTTATAATCAATGTTATAATAAAATAAGAAAGAGGAAATATAATACTTGATATGTATATTGCAATGAAATGCTACTTAGAAACTTAGTACACTGTGCGTGAGAAATTTTTTTATTATTTTACAAATGGCACTAAATAAAAGTAAATTCATTTATTGAAATGCAATTAATAGTAAAAGAACAAAAAAAAAAAAAAAAAACTATTTCACGATGGTACTTATTAGAGGACACTAAAAGCTTCCTAAATTCAAAACGTTGATAACTGAGGAAAAGGAACATGATGGAAAGTTAAAATAAAAACATGTCCATATACGCGAAAGGAAATTATTCTATTACAGGAAATAGATATTTGTGTTAAGATATAAAAATGTGTTAGCACCTGGAAAAATTATGCTGCCAAATCCATAGCACATATTGTGCAGGATTCAACTGAACTTAATGAGAATTACTGCATAAGAATTTAAGTTATTAAAACTAATACACTCTAGGAACAAGAAAAGAGCCTACATTATTAAATTTATTAAAGGAAGGCTGATGAATGGTGGTTAGTAACTGAAGGTTAACATTATCAAATAGTCGAAAGGAAACCTTCGCTATACAGAAATATGCAAAATTTTGCAATCTTGGCTGACACACATTCATTCTTTTAGCAAGTTTCAAAAGTAGTATCAGGTTGCTTCAAATCCTAATTTCAAGGACAGTATGAGTAGTTTGATTAAATTATCATATGTGAAAAACTGAATGTGTCACTGAGAAGGCATCTGACAAATTGTGAGAAATAGGTATCACCTAGAATGTAAGCACTACAGAGACTGACGTACTAATGTACGTAGTCGAAACTGTCATGTCAAGAACTTAAAAACAGTTTAATGACACTGATGACATGTGCAAACAATCACTTCAAAATTGAACTCGTTGCAGCAAGTTTTAAACTTGTTTAAAACTCGAAAAGTTTTTCGAAAAAGTTTTTCGAGTCGAAAGTTTTAAACTTTAGTTAGAGTCGAAAAGTCGGGAATGCAATCTGGCAATGACTGTTAGAAGAAACAGACAATCTATGTCAGCCAAGATTGTAAGGGACTGCAATCACAAGAATATGACCAGCTATGTATATCACGAGTAATAAGCTACATAAAAGAAAGCTGTTAGCAAAGAAACTCATGATTTGCATACCACATACTTGGGCTGCGAAATGTGCCTATTTGCAGTTTTTCTGAAATTATCGATTTATAACCATCTGCAGCCAAGTTCTCTTCACTGATGAGTCTAGTTTTCAGTTGAGAGTGACTTTATACATGTTATAATATAGGGAGTGCAAAACACATGCAATAAAGCTGAAAACATCGATGAAAGATAAGGGCATCAGCGAAAGGCTGGCATCATTCTGAATGGCTGCAATAACTTATTCAATTTTACCAGTGCAACTATAATGCTGAAATATACAGAGACAAGATTCTTTGTCTTTATATCAAGCTGTTTAGGAGTGAAACTGGTAATAATTTGTTCCACTCCCATTGTGTTTCACTACTGACTGGATATCAGACAAAAGAACCCAGAAGATGCAGTAGTCTATATATCCAGATTTGAATCCAAAAGGATATGTGTGAGATGCACTAGAACACTGACTTGGTTCAACGTGGCCTTTCCTGCACTCTCCAGGAGCTTCAAGGTGCTCGTCATCATGAATATGCTTTATAGAAACTCCTAGATAATCTAATACACAACGTGGAAAATCACTGCAAAACTTCTATTTTGGTCTGGAAGTAACCTTACACCTAATTAATCCTTTCTCGTATCTCAGAAAGTTGCAACAGCATCTTTTCTCTTATCTCATTTTACAATGATATTTCCTTTGTTCTTATTTAAATTTATCTTTTGCAGTACACAAGCCTGCATTTTAAAGATACATCAGGCAAGACAAAATTAAGATCTTGCACAAGTTCCATGTCCTAAGCTGCATAATTATTTAGTTTTTACAATGACTTCTTTAATCTTTCAAGCCAACGTATTATGACTATCACAAAAAACTTTTGAGTTACTTTTTTTTCCTTTTCATTTTTAGTGCACCTGACATTTCAATAAAAAGTTCACTGGCTTTGTTTTTGTGCTATAAATAAGTCTTTTTAGATACACTGCCATTTCATATATAAATACATGAAGCATCATGATTATGACAAAATGTTTAAAGAGCACAAGAAAAAAGAAAATAAGAAAACCTGAGAGGATTCAAATTTTAAAGTCACATCAAAGGATCTGTTAAGGTCTTTTTATACTCTTGCTGAGCATGACACACTTCTGTTTTTTTTTTTTTTTTTTTTTAGCCATACTATTATCCAGTTGTTTTCTACACACTTATTCCATATAAAATTCAAGAGTAAAATCACAAAATATTTATAAACAGTGCATCATTAGAATTCCTGACACAATGTTAGGACATTACATACATTTTTTCCCCATTATTACTTTTTTAATACTCGCTAAATTATTTCTTTGTGACAACTAGCAGTTGAGTGGACAACTGCCTTAGACCAACTCTCATCCTCCCAAAAAAAGGGGGAGCGATATTTAATAAGTCTATCAATTATCATTTATAAAATATTAATATTTATAATTATATATATATATGCATTTTTATTTAAATCAATCAGAATTAAAAGCAGAAAAAAATATTTTTAAGAACTGCATTTATTGCTTTTTAATCACTTGGTTTGTTACTCAGTAATAGAAAGACTAAATATCTTACGCTTAACTGAATAGCAATACACTGGTGCACGGAGATAAGTATTGCATTTGAGGCAATGGCACCAAAATCCTTCTTTCAAAAAGCTAATTTGTGTATTAAAACTGAAGGACAAAAATCTTACATTTTGCTGAATGGCGACAGTCTGGTCCACTGGAAATGAAAATGCTTTATTTTGAACAGTATTGCCGAGTTTGTTCAACAAAAATTCATTAGACTGTACAAAATGTAAAATAAATAAAAAAAATTTAATTTAAATTTAAAATTCAGGCTTTGAGGTGGATGCCCACCTTTGGGTGGAGCACTTCTTGTATTAAGAATTTGGTGACTCTAGATGCCTTTATTTTCCCCCACTGCGATGCCCACACATACATACATACAGATTCTTCATTATTTATTTTTTTTTAACATAATACATTGCAATGACATTTGGTGGCAACAATTTGAAAAGTAATATAGCCAGAAAATGAGTTTCCAGACCAATAAAACCTCTCACACTTTTTTTTTTTTTTTTTTTTTTTTTTTTTTTTTTAAAGGTGAGAAGCATAATTTTGGGAGAGGGGAGGAATCTAAATAAATTATTTTCATCAAGTTCAGATTAATGATATTATAATATATAACAAAGGAACAATTTTACCAAAGTGTGAAAAAATTGGAGCAATTTTTAACAAATTCCAAATTTATAGTATTTATACATAATTCAAAATTATGTGCTCAAAAATTTTAATTTACATAAAGCATTTTGAATTATGTATTTAAAAATATGTTTTTTATTTCTATATTCATAATTACCATGTGATTAAACATAGAACTGTTTAAAGATCTACTAGTAAAATATACAAATGTTGACAAGAACAGACCGTCATCAAATTTTACGTGAATTAGTTCCCCAGTTAACTAATTTCTGAGGACTCTCAAACATCAAGATATGACATTAGATGGGAATTATTTTTAATGCTGATAAGGAATTTAAAAGACAGTAAAATTTCACATTTACTCTTTCCAGAAGATTAAAAATCAAACAAATGTATTTCATGTTCAGCTATATTATTAGGACTCTTTAGTAACTTCTCTATGTCTTTCTTGCTTACTTCCATTGCTTTTCACAGACACAGAATGTTATAGATAACAAATAACCCCCCCCAAAAAAAGTACTAAGTTTTTAAATTCTGTGCCTCAACCCAACCTAGCCATAATTTCTTCTAACCAGGCTTTGCTAGTGAGAGTTCAGCAATGGAAAACAACATTTCAAGAAGTACCTAGTGTTAATTATTTCAAGAAGTGTCTAGTATTAATAGTCCCTAAAATCAAATTTATCATCAAATTATTCATTATCTACTAATAAGGCAAAACAAAAATTTATTAATGACAATAAAATCAGAAAAACTTTAATCAAGAAAAGAAGCTTTCTTCTTCTCGATTAAAGTTTACCTTCATCATGTAATAACACAAAATCAATCATACAATTCGCAAATTATTAAAAGAGAAATTCATTTTTGTAACATACATGCATATACAGATATGTATGTCTTCCAAAACTCTTCAGCAAATAATGTAAATTTACAGAAGCTCTCAGAAACCATGAAAATGTTTGAATCTAATGGATTCAGATCACATGTGCTAATCCCAAAAAATTTTCCTTCTAAACATTCTTCAAAGATATAATCTGCTAGTGAGAATTTGCTAACTGAGGAAGTTAAAGTGAAAGATCTGTATCAAATTTATCTGTAATTAAATAAAAAAATAGGATAATAATTTTGGCAGATATTAGGCCAGCTTATCATTCAAATAAAGTATTTTAGGCAATAAATAAGTTAACAATGCTGACAGTAATGATTTCTTGGTAGAGTTCTTGTGCTAACTAGCTTTAAAATGTCTGCTTAAAACATTCTTTATTTTTACACGTATTACATGGGATTTTAATGCTTACTTTTGTAAATTATAGTTACTATCAGTGTTAGATTCAACTAGAATATGAATTAATTTCTGGTATATCTCAGATTTTTGAATGCAATAATTGACATAAGATTTACATCAGTCCAAGAATATTTGTTTTATACAACGTATCTGAGAAAAACATGAAAACTTACTACTATATGTTCCGTTTCTGAGCAAGAAATGTTTCCACGTGCAACAGCAGTCATCAGGCCGTAAAGTCTCTCATTTTCTTCTATATCACTGCAGAATTTCTTTACATACTGAGTTGATTTTACAGGATCTTGCAAATTCTCTTAAAAAAAGTAATTTGTATTTATAATGGAATGAAAAGAATTGCTTAAAGGAACAACAATCAAATATATTTTACACTTTTTTTTCAGAAAGTTCAAAGGATTTTTATGAACTATTTAAAAGAATTTTGAGATCTAGTCATATAATTTCCAAAATAAAATCTTTTTACATTACAGATTAATTTTATAACATATTTCAAGGACTTGGCTTAGTGCTGATTCAGCCTTGATACAAAGGATGTTTACATATTTTCAGAATAATTTGAGACCCAGTTAATCAATGTTTAAAATGTAAAGAGCCCTTTTTTAAATGTTCCGCCTGATCCTTTTTTTCTGGACTATTCATCTATGTCATGATTTTCACAATAAGGGCTTCTTGTAAAATTTCCAGTAGTATTGATTTATTTCCACATAAAAATCCATCAATTGTGTGAGCTTGTTCTTAGAGATCTTTTCAAAAGACTAAAGGCACAATAGTCCATATGTGAAACGTCAGACTATTTTGCATCAATACAGTGAAAAGGTATATGTGCAATACACCTTGATACTTTTGATAATTTTTTTGACACCAAGAAGCAATTTTTCCAAGGTGGGCGTCGCTCAAAACACTGACGAAAACACATGCTTGCAAAACCAACGAAAGTACTTACCTCATCATAAATGTCAGATGATTGTGGCACATACAATTCTTTTATGCATTTTATACAATCCTAGAATAGATACTCTTCTTCCTGATGCTGATAGTGACAATGCCACATAAATTCTGCAACGCAGGAGTCGAAAATGTCAATACACAACTGCCAAAGACCCCGTCTGCGAAACTCGTGCTTAATGTGGATCCGCATGCCCTCAATGATGTTGGTATGAACTTCAGTTTCGAGCTCCTTTCTTGGGACAAACCCACTCACAACCATCCAGTTGATCCCTAAGCTCGATAAGACGCATTTCTTTTGCCCAAATTAGCATTTACAGTGAGAGGTAATTGAAAACCTTCATTTATACATGAATTAATTATAGTTTTCTTATCCTTTTACTCTAAATCATTGGAAGGGGGGGAACGAATATTTATCTTGCCAGAAATACTTTTTTGTGAAAGTGACAGGACAAAGATCAATTAGAACCAACCAGCTAACAAAAACTAAAGTTGAATTAATGGCGATTAAAATTACAATAATTCAAAATACGTAATTTGTAGTCCGTGTACACAGACTACAAATCACATAGCTCTCGATCCTAAACTACGAAGTTCCAATCAGATTAAACTTAAATAAAAAAACAAACAAACAAAAGGCTACTATAACAGTAAGTATATAAAGTCGATTCTGGGTTACAAGAAAAGCTATAGCAGCATCAGCATTTGGTGCCAAATCAAAGGGCACCCTATTCTACACTAGAGCCTTTGTTGTTTAATCTTGGTGATGTTTTACTCTTTGAAAGTCATATTGATAACAGAAGAAATAGAATTTCTTCTGTAAATATCCGATGTAAGCTTTTCCCTAGGTATCACATTGACTTCATTTTAATAGTCTTTTCCATTCTTACTTTTAATTCTGCGACAATCATGAAGCCTTTATGAAACTTTCTTTGCATTAATAGAACCAGATTTGTACATTTTTTCCTCTAAGATTACAAATAAATAGACCTTTTTTGCTGCTGTCATTTAAATAATATATATCGTAAAGGGTCACAATGTATTTCCATTTATCTCCTGCTAAACAGTTTTCATAAAGGATTCTATAAGTTGCTCTGTGTTGAGCCACGTGCCTCAGAAAAGCTAATGAATACTGTATATTTTACCCTTTTTAAAGTCTTAAATCTTGGTTTATTATTTTATGTATTTTTGCGACTGATGTATTTAAGGACCTTTCAACTGATTTCTGTATCAGTAGATTTTTTCTTTAATAATGATTTAGAAACAATAGAATAATGGAATAGGAATATTTTCACCTGGAGCATACACATATATCTTTAAATCTACAACTTGTTTACAAGCAACACTTTGAAAGAATAAATTTAAAAATAGCAGATGATACTTCTCGCTTCAAATAATAAGCTGCTGCCAGAAATTTTCATTATTCCAAAATATATGCTTTTTTTAAATTCATCAAAATCATTCTAAAAATGAGTAAACACTCTCTGTACCTTTGTTTCCATTTCAGTCTTATATGGGAAAGATTCAATAATTTTATTTGTAATTCAGCCTAATTGAGAAATAGCCCCTCATTTGATTTACAGCACATTAAGTGTTTTTGCACCATTTTTTAAAAATACAGAAAAGTCAAGTCAGTGTCAATTTTTGTTTCACTGACTGCACATGCATTACTTCTGGTCAATTATTTTCTTGGCTTAGTTATGAGAACATATCAACTAAAACTGTCAGCCTTTCAAACACATTGCATATTTCCTTTTTTTAGATATCTTTCAATCTAAAAGACCTGCAATTATAAACTAGAGGTTTTGGGCCTCTCTGGATTTCAACATAATCCAACATTTTTCTAGCTTTTTGGAGTTCCTAGTATAATCAAAGCATAATAGCACATGCTACCAAAAGAATAAGAATGACAGAAAAAAAATCTCTTCCAGAAATTGATCTGTAAGAAAGTCAAATGCAAAGATAAGCTAATATAAATCATGGACTTGTTTTAGTGTAATGAATGAAGGATAAAGAGTCATAAACTCACTCTCCTTTATGCTAATAGAAGGGAGCAGAAAATAAAGGCTGAAATGGAAACCATGTTCATGGGATATTTCTGGTTTGTCTAACTCAGAACACAATTCTCACATTTCATTTTAAAGGCTCATTTGTGATACTACCTCTAAAATTCACCTTAATTATTTCATTCAGCAACTATGGATAAACAACAAAAACAAATTACAGATTTTTAAGCTAAATATAATTGAAATACAGTCAAAAGTCGTTAATTCGGACACCCATAATTCGGAATGTTCTATAATCCGGACCTCAAAACTAAAAACTTTCTGCGCATGCGCCGCGTTGACACATGCGCATAGGTGTTTACGCGTGCGCGTAAGACCTTTTACGACTGCGCATATGAGTGTGCGCAAGTGCAGAATACGTTTTCGCGTGCGCGTTTTATGTATAATGGATGTATAAGCTAAAATTATTTAATTATCTATTTCAGTTAATGTTGATGATGCGTTGTTCCTTAATTTTCGAATTGGATCCGCTTATTATTTTTTGCAGACTGTAATGCAATTTTATAAAGTAGGCTTAAACTTTCGATTATATCAAATAGAATTCCCCATATATATTTGTTAATATGTAAAGGATCTAAAGCAAAGTATGTTTTGAATCCGAAATCTGTTTATCAATTTCACGCTGCTCGGGGGGGAACGCCACCCGGCGTAATGAATTGGAAGTTGATCTGTCAACACTATCCTTATCTTCAGGGCAGATGTTTTTTATTTTATTGGCTTATAATTCCTACCAAATTAGTATTTCATCTCGATGTGCTCCGTCTTTGATATGATTTAAAAAAAATTCCTCGTCATTATAATTCGCTTCCGATAGCGAAGAAAGTGACAGGTTATCAAAACGAAAAAATTTCGATTGACAAATTAGTCGGTGTTCTCGAACAGCAATTATAGGACTTGAACAGCGGAACTTTGTAACTGAACAGAAATTATGTCTGTTTAATAGAATTAAAGAGAAAGTATTATCACATGAAACAAAGCAACTTAACAACTTACATTGAAAGAAATGTTTAATAAAGTAAACAAATAAATATTAAGCTTTTTCTTTTTGCAAATTCTGATACCCTTTAGATCATAATTGTTCTTTATTTCATAAATTACGGTTTCATATTTTTAATTTTAGAATTTCTGCATGCCATCTTACGAGATTTAAACTGATGATCTATAAACCGGAAAAATCGATAATCCGGAATCGCCGAAGTCCCGACGAGTCCGGATTAACGACTTTTGACTGTATTCAGAACTATAAACACAGACAATAGCAAACACCTAAGCAAAGATTAACAAACCCTTTTAGAATTGCTTCAGGGTTATAATCTTATTTTTTATTTATTGAATTTGTAGAGTGCTTTAAAAATTACAAAACTGTAAATAATGGTATTATGGCATTTTCAAAAGAAAATCAATAGATCATAGCATGCAAAAGTTATGGAGAAGAAAATCACATAATAGCTGCTGCTGATTTCATACAAATAAATGATTTAGAATTCATTGTAAAAGCTAAGTATGCATTTTCAGTTAGTGCTGATGTTGAATGATCTTGCTTTCAATGCAAATACATGTTTCCTCCAAAAAGAGAGAGAGAGAGAGATTTGTATCTTTTCACATTGAAATTCTAAACATAATTAAGTTCATTTCATTAAATAAATTCTAAGTCATTATAAAAAAGTTTTGTCCTTGCAGATGTTCTATGAGGTTTCATAGACACTAAACTGCTCATTCTTAGCTATGTTTCCAGTGTACAGTATGTGCAAAATGAAAGCATATTATTAATGACCTATCACTTTCTTAAACTATTTTTGTAATCTTTTTTTATTTCTTTTAATTTTCATCTGCACAATTGGTCACACATTATAAATTACTGCTTGAGTGGTATCAAAATAGGGTTGGGCTTCTTCCAGGTCAAATGAAGAAACTGAGGAGAAAAAAGAAGGAAAGGGGGAAAAACTGAAAAACATAAACAATGATTTACCCAAAAAGGGCTGCTAAAGATAATAAATGATTTATTACTTTTACATTCAAATTTATGAAAAAGACTATTGCATGCAACTTAAAAAAGGGGGGATAACAATTACAGGTAGCATAACATAAATTGTAATTTTAAAAGCAAATTTTCACAATTAATCAAACAACATAGCATTTTGGACTGAATTAAAATTTATTTTTCATGTAAAAGAATTGGAAAACTACTCTACGCTCATGGTTTGTAACTTTAATCATAAGTCCTTGTTCTTCTTCAACATTCAACACGCTTAATTGTTTACAGCGCTTTAATAGCTAAATCCAAACTTCGACCATGTGAATTGAATAGAACACTAAAATAAAAAATTAAACTGTCAACAAATTTTAGGATAAACTATTCCATTCCTTCAAAATAATTAATAGTCTATTTCTGAACTTTTGCTTTAAGAAAACTGACATGGCTAAGTTCATCAAAAATGTGTTGTTTCAGATTATAAAGGAATTAAAAGCAGATACAATTCCATCAAGAATTTGTATAATTTGCAATTCTGAAAATTTATAGCTAAAATCATGGTTTATCCATTTTAAAAGATTAACAAATATTTCTATATAATCTTCAATAATGTTTTTCAACTGTTGAAGATTTATAAAATACTTCTGAAACTCTAGTTAATTTTTTAGATATTATAAAAGAAATATTTTTAAAGGAAGAAATGTGTTTTTTTAACTAAAATTACAGGCTAAATTTTAAATAATATTTTCTTGTAAATACTAGTTTCTAAAGTTCTCTTAAAGATCAGTTTCTTTTTCACCAATCACCAATGACTCTTCTCAATAACCCTCTCTTCCTGTGACAGCATGCACCCAATACTTCGATGAACCCAGATTTACAGTGCAGTATAAGCAGAACCCCACTATCTTTAAAACTATAAACGATTTTTTTTAAATGCTTCTTCCACTCACTTGGGAGTGGGGACAAATAAAAACAAACCACAAACAGTTCAACGATCACATCAGACTGAACAATGAACAGCCTGTAACAAACAAAAGGACTAAAGAACACAATAAAACCCTGCATGACAAATGCCCCAAAATTTTACAATTAATTATTATAATTATTAAATGTAAGCCGAACTGGAGAGAAACCCACCAATATAAAACTAAAAAGTACAATATATGCCAAATACAGTTGCATTCTTGCTTAATTTAAAAAAGTTAACTAAATTATTTGAAACTTCGTGTTTAGTCACAATATTTCTGACTTTGCAAATAACTATTTTCGTAATCATAGTAAAATAATCAATCTCATTCAATGAAATAAAAGTTTCATTCTTCTTTGTGCATATAAAATTCAATACACACAATTTTTTCTGGAGCTGTTATAATTGCCGTATTATATGATGCATATTACCATGCAGATTATTTGTTCTAAATTTTTTACAGCCTGGGCAAAGCTATAAGAGCCAATATTACCTTCGCTCTTCCATTTCAGATGTATTCAAGTTATATACATATACATAACAATAAAAGTTATATATATATATATAAATCATACATATATGCAATTTTAAGAGCATATGTTTTCTTATTTGCGATACAATGAAATCCTAAAATAAGAATCTGCTTCATCTACACTGAAAAAAATAAGGACAAAAAAAAAAAAAAAATTTAACATACATATCCATGGGACTTTTATCCTAGCGGGCATCTTTCAGTGCGAGCTTTTTTTGAGTGGGCCTTTCATTAATGTCAGCTTTTATCTAACGAAATATGACGGAAAAATATTAAATTTAAAAAATCCCACTTACTGGAAAGTGCAGCAATTTTTGATGCAAGAGTTTCCTGTTTATTATTATTTTTGTCAGATTTAATTATATCCAAAATGTTCTTCATCTGAAGTCGTAAACTGCAAAATATTAAAAGTTTAATACAGAGCATTAGAAGTTAATATTAGCAATTTTTCAAACATGTAACCAAGCACATTAAAATTACTTAAATAGTTTTTCTTACATTAACTTGCAGGAATTATAATTTATCCAATCTCTTTTAAAATGGGTTTTAGATATTCAGAAAACACTTTACTAGATATATTATTAAATAATACTAATAGCCAAATTTTGAAATTTCAGTGTAACAATTTTCACAATAAATATAAAAAGGGATATACAGAAACCATGCACAGATATTCTTGTATAAACTGATCTTGTATACAAAGATCAGAAGAAATGAATGAGTTAACGCTCAAATGAATCAATTGTTCTACATTAAAAAAATGTTGAACTTTAATATAAAAAATCAGATAAAATAGGCCTATTCATAACAAACTATTTTGATTAATACAACAAATGACTTGAAAAATTAAATATGATTTTACATGAAGTTTCTTTAACTCATAGAATTATGGTTAAAAAAAACCTGTCAATTACACATGTAATATAATTACTTTTTTACCTAGTTTCTTCTGTTTAAACGATGTTTTCCAGCAATACAAGCAAGTAATATGTGAAAAGGCTTGTACGTTAATCTCGCTGATCTTAAAAAGTTTTAACAGAAAATTCTAAAACTGCTTCTTTCATGACAAAAGTTAATTTTTACAAATTTATATCAATGCCCACTTTCATGAGTGACATGCTAAAATATTCTTATACCTCATGTAATAAAGTCTCTTATGAAAGAATTTTTGGAGATATTATGATTTTTTTCAATTAATCCCTTCAATTATGAAAAAGCAGCCTATTTTATAGGGGGAGGAAGAAATATTTTTATTCTTTAGATAAAATTTACACTTACCTTTTTTGGCAACGAAGAATTTCCCTAAAAGCCCTATAAAAGATTTATAATGACTAAGAATGAAAAATAAAACTTGTTACAGAGTAAGAAAAAGCTAAAAAGTACATCGTGAAAACAAATCTTTCAAACACTGACCGCAGCACTATTTCATGAGAAAAAAATATTAAAACTACTATCAGTAAACATACTTCATTATTTTAATGGATTTAAGATTTTTTTAAGCATGAAATACTACAATTAATATGATAAAAACCTTACTTCATAGAATTTTCATCAACTGTGCAGTATAGTCTATATAGTAATTTCATTCGCTCATTCATTGGCCTCTGAATAGGTACAAGGCATGTATGAAAAATACGTTCAACTAATATTCTGAAAAAATAATAATAATAATAATAATAGATAGAATATAAATTTGCTTTGTATCTATTTGATATTTACAAAAACAAAAATATACAACACAATTTATGATGCTGAATGCTAATAATATACTGTTAGAATTTATCTAACATTTTAATGATTGATTTTAAAAAGCAATATTCCAACAATTTACACTACAATGTTTATACAAGTTAAAAGCAACATATTACTAGCGAAAACAATCTTTAAGAAGTTACTTTACTGGATATCATACACGTGCATTTATTAAAAATTATCTATAAGGATAAAAATACTATATGATGTAATAAATTCGGAATAGTTTATTGAAAAACTTATGCATACAACAAACATAATATCTTAAAAGTAATATAAGTACTGTGTATAAGAAAAGTAAATTTATTAACTTCAACAGCAAAAGAGAAAACTGTAACTAATGCAGCTAAATACAGATAACAGGAATGTATTCCATATTTTCAAAACTTGAATTTTAGATAATATTTAATAAAACATTCTAAAAATCTTGAAGAAAAAAAAGTATGACTTGATACAACATACCTGCTTTCAATTGATAATGGATAATAAGCATGAAAAAGCTTGTTTTTTATCAAAGACAATGATTCTGAATCAGGAACCGCCAGCTGAGCAGGGGTACTAACATAATGCCTGTATAGCCTTCCAAAGCCTAATAAAGCTTCTTTACGAACTTTAAACTAAAAAAAATTACATGAAGCTTAAGAACAAAGAAATGCAACTTTTCAAAAGATAACAAGCACTAAAATATCTGTATGCATCCTATACACTGAAGAGATACATATGCCCTCTCATATACCTATTTGCACAGACAACTAAAAGAAGCATTTGTGACATATAATGTTGCATTGGTTTTACCGTCCAACTGAAGAAGAGTTTGGTCCCCAAACCCCTAAAGCTCCCCAAAAAGCCATGAGTAAATGACATTTTCTTGATTTTAACTGCAAAATGAACCTTCCAATTTGTAGTGTGATTGCTCTGCTTGTAGTATATACATATATAATCAAGAGCTAATAATTAAAATTAGATCATGAAAGGGTTAACAATCCAACAGGAAATACACATATAAATATTAAAATAAAAACAATACAAAACTTAAAAAATACAATAAAATTAATAAAACATAACAGAACTAATATAAAATTTATAAAACTTGAAAATTTCATGTTTTTTTCCAAGGAGTAGCTGAACAATTTTCAACAGAGCCATGTTTCAGATTTATAGCTAGATGATTATAAATTCTTGAAACACTTCAAAACAAAAATAAAAAAAAGAAATACCAATTAATATTATTATATTAAAATAATCAAAATGCTCTAGGAGTAAAAAAAAGTATAAAAAAAATACAATTTATTTAAAAATGTTTTTATTTTAATTAAGATAAAATATGCTCCAATATGACAAAAATAAATAATTGAAAAATAAACATTATAAAAATTCTCAAAGAAGAAACATTGGGTAAATAAATTTCGAACCAAAGAATAAGCAAAATTGCTAAATAACTTAGCAAAGCCAAATATTTCAAGTAAAAAAATTTTTTAATAGAAATTCAATAAAAATTTTCCTGTTGGAATGTTAACATCTCTTCTGATCTAATTATTATCCCTTATTATATAATTCATTTTGTAAGATATTATGCAACTTTAATAGTAATTATCTCAATTTGAAATTTCTGAACTTTTGTTTATCTATTTATCAATACAAAATCTAACCCCACTATAATGATATGATGAACAAATCTTTTGATCCCATCTAATTTCCTATACACTTAATATTATTTTACTGCTATAGTGAGCTTTCAAAGGAATGAAATCTATTTTACACTGTGACTATTACAGACAATTATCAAATCAGGACTGTGATATTAAAGACGTAAAAAATCTTTATTTCTGGACTAAAATATATATTGTTACGGATTTGGTATTTAAATAGCTTATGTTAGTTGAATTGTAAATTAAATGGTTTTATTTCCCGAGCAGTGCAGCGCGTGACGAATATTAAAAGAAAGCTAAGCCGGAAAATTGAAAATACAAGAGCGCATGCATGTAACATTTAATAAATATCTCTTTTTGATTTCGAGAAAGTACTACAAAATTCTCGCGTGCGATTTCAAAATCTTATAAAAGGAGGAAAACTTCTCAGTTCGTAGTAGTAGTTACTTAGTTTGTTGTTTAGAAAACTGCTTTGTTGACTGTAGCGAATTCACAGATTAGCTTTCTTTAGCTGCTTTGAATTAAGTTCTTTTGAACGTTTAAGTAGTTAGAAGATAACTACTGTGATATATTGTGATACTGCATGATTATTTGAGGACATTTAAGCATATTTATTGTAATAATAATAAATTTTGTTCATTTTTCATCGGACTTGTGCATTCATTTTTGGTGTCAGGAGTGGGGTTTGAATGCCAATTACTATAGCGATGGAAGAACAATTGAGGCAGCTCATCAGTGCTTTTGCTACATTCCAAGAAAAGATGGAAGCTGGCCAAGCATCATTTAAAGAAGAGATGAAAGACTCTGTTAAAGAAGAGATTAAATCCGTTAAAAAGGAAATGAAAACTAGTCAGGAAAAGATTGAAGCAGGACAACAAAAGATTGAAACAGTTCAAGAAGAGATGAAAAGAGAAATTACCTGCATAATAGAAAATAAATTTGAAGCTATGGAAGGCAGAATTGACACAGTTGAAAATAAAGTTGGACAAATTGAAGAAAAACTTTCTTCTATAAAAGATGAAATTGAAGAAAGAGTTTCTTCTGTAAAAGAACATATAGAAGGGAGAGTTTCTGCTGTGAAGAAACGAATTGAAGCAAGAGTTCATGCTGTCCAACACGAAATCGAACAACAAATTGATGATTGGGTTTCTGCAGTAGCCAAAGAAGTTAAAGAAAAAATATTTAAAGAAATTCGTGGTGACAGCAGGGAACAATAGTGATCGTTTTAAATTTTTGCCCATGCCTGCTCGTCCCTCTCTGAAGTTATCTACATATGATAGGAAGACCTCTTGGCAAGTGTATAAAACACAGTTTTCTATAGTGGCGGAAGTGAATGGATGGGATTCCCAAGCTAAGGCCTGTCATCTCGACTCTTCTCTTCAAGATCGACGCAGCGGATTCCTTCAGACTCTTCCCGAAAACAAAAGGTTCGATTTCAAGCTCTGTCCGGCGCCTTGGAGCTGCGCTTTGGGGAGAAGTGTTTAAAAGACTACAGCAAACTCCATTAAAAAAATCTCGTCAACAGAAGCCTACCGAAACACTTCAGGACTCGCCACGATGTTGAAAGGCAGTCCCATCTCGCCTTTTCGAAATGCCCGACAGTAACAACGAAATCCTGTCCTTGCAATACTTATCGACGACATCCGGATACTGAAATACAGAAGCTCTACGAATGGCAATGTAAAAGATTTATAAGCGCTCTTTGTACACCATGAAATTCGAGGCAGCCCAGCAAGCAACTCGTAGCAACCGCCACAAGTTAAAGCTGTTCAAGTCCAGGAGGCAGTGGATCAGGTCACCGTTCCTCTAGACGATTTAACCAGACAACTCAATGACTTGAGAGAAATATCAGTGAAAGAAACCGACCTTAAAGTGCTGGAACTGCGGAGCTGAAGGACACATACGATGAAACTGCAGAACACCCCAGGGTATGGATAATACGAGGGCCATCCAGGAAGTAGATTACGTTTCCGTCTGTGTCCGCTAGGGGCGGGGCTAGCGCGGCCATCTTGGGGTCAGAGCGTTGCGCAGCTCAGTCTGCATCTAGCCGTGCTAGTGAGAGGTTCGTGCTGTGCTCCGTTCAGATACTGTGACGGTTTGAAATGTCTGCGTTAATTGAAAATCCCGCGAGCTGCGAGGTGCGCTCAGTAATAAGGTTTCTGACTGCAAAAAACTGTAAACCGATAGAAATCTATCGGCAGCTTCGTGAAGTGTATGGGGACAACATTATCACTGAAGGTGGAGTGCGTCAGTGGGTCATAAGATTTCAAAAATGGCCGAACCAATGTTCACGACGAAGATCGAAGTGGGAGACCCCAGCATAGTGACCGCCGAACTTCTCGAAAAAAGTCGATGCTAAAGTCCGTGAAAATCGAAATTTCACATAACGGAACTTTCTTTGAGTTTTTTTTCCCCACAAATTTCGCGAAGTTTGTTGCACGAAATCATCAGCGAAAAGCTTGGTTACCACAAGTTTTGTGACGCACAGCTGCAAGAAGAGGTAACGAAGTGGTTGAAGGCGCAGGCGGCCGAAATTTTCGACGAAGGAATTTCCAAGCTCGTACATCGCTACGATAAATGCCTTAATTTGTATGGTGACTATGTAGAAAAGTAGTATTTGAGTGTGGCTTTCATCTGTATATAATAAAATTTGTTTCCTATACTTTCTTTATTTTTTTATTCCAAAACGTAATCTACTTTCTGGATAGCCCTCGTATAACAGATGATTTGACAAGACTAGTGAAAACCTTGAGACGAGATATTGGTGAGAGGAAACCAACCCTAAAGTGCTGGAACTGCGGTGTTGAAGGCCACATACGAAGGAACTGCAGAACACCCCAGAGCACGGAAAATAAGAGAGGCGGGTTAAACAGACAATTAAATGCCATGGGATGAAAAAGGATTGACAAGAAACTAAAGTGCTGGAACTGTGGAGATGAAGGCCACGTACGAAAGAACTGCAGAACACCCCAGGGTACGAAAATTGAAACCATTTCTCAGCAACAACGGAGGAAACAAATTAATGACCATATCAAGGAACGGAGGCTGCCAGATAATGAAAAACCTTGTTTTAAAGCACTCAAGATTTCTATGGTGAGTGGCAACAGTAACGGACTGTCTATCAATGGGCATATCGATGGAATTCCTTGCAATATGATAATTGACACAGGAGCTACTGTTACCATCATTAGGAAAGATTTAGCTGAACAGTTTAAAGATAAACTTATTTGGATGCCATTTTGTGTTACCTTTCAGACTGCGTCTGGTGACAAGATTGACATAGCTGGGAAGTTAAACCTGAACATCACGTTTGGATTACAGATCCATGCACACTCGGACTGGACTTTTTAAGGAAATACAATTTTTCCTTAGACTTCAAAAACAAAAAACTGCTTTCATGATCTGAAGACATGCCTATCTATCCTCAGAAGGGATCATCGCCTGGAAATGCCAACGCTTTGTCCGAAAGAACCAACTCGAGAAGCTGCCGAATTCATGCTAGGGTCGAAAAGAAACGCAAGACTACCAGCTATTCTCCATCCCAGATGCTCTTTGGTCGTGACCTTCGTCTGCCTTGTGATCTCTTGTTTGGTTGCCCTCTGAATGCTACTTCATTGCCAGAGGAATATATTCAAGATCTCCAGGCCCGATTTGAAGTGATGCACAACTTTGCACTAGAGCAAGTCAACTTGGTGACGGAGAAGATGAAGACCCGATATGACACAAGAGCTACTGAACATCAATTCCAAGAAGGAGACAAGGTGTGGTTGTGGAATCCGACTTGACAGAAAGGACTTTGTCTGAAATTAGTCACCTTGGGATGGCCCGTACACAGTCCTAAACAGGCTGAATGACTTCGTGGTTCGGATTCGTAAGTCTTCAAACTCTATACCTAAAGTCGTTCATTACGACAGGTTAGCTCATTACTATGGCCATAGTACGTAATTTAAATAATTGTAAATAATGTAAGACCATGGTCTTTTTGTTTTTAAATGTGTAGTATTTGATTTGTATTTTGTATTTGATAGCATTTGATTTGTTTTATTTATTGCATTTATTGTTCATGTTGTTTATTATTGTAATGTAATGATTATTATTGCATTTATGCCACAGTTGTAAGTTTTGCTTCTTGCCCAAGGATTGTACTGCACCGGGACGTGCAGTCCTTGGAAGGGGGCAGTGTTATGGATTTGGTATTTAAATAGCTTACGTTAGTTGAATTGTAAATTAAATGGTTTTATTTCCCGCGCAGTGCAGCGTGTGACGAATATTAAAAGAAAGCTAAGCCGGAAAATTGAAAATAACAAGAGCGCGTGCATGTAACTTTTAATAAATATCCCTTTTTGATTTCGAGAAAGTACTAGAAAATTCTCTCTCGCGCGATTTCAAAATCTTATAAAAGGGGGAAAATCTCTCAGTTTGTAGTAGTTACTTAGTTTGTTGCTGTTTAGAAAACTGCTCTTGTTGACTGTAGTGAATTTGCGAATTAGCTTTCTTAAGTTCTTTTGAACGTTTGAGTACTTAGAAGATAACTACTGTGATATATTGTGATACTGCACGATTATTTGAGGACATTTAAGCATATTTGTTGTGATAATAATAAATTTTGTTCATTTTTCATCGAACTTGTGCATTTATTTTGTAACGAACCCGTTCGCACGCAACAATATGAATAACTATTTACAATAAACCATCACAAAAAAATCATTATCACACTCGAAATCTTGCTTTTATCCGGCTGGTAAGAAAGCGATTTCAATTTTTTTTTTTTTTTTTTTTTTTTTTTTTTTTTTTTTGTGAAAAAAAATTTAATTTTTTCTGCATAAAAAATGAACTTTTCTGTAGAAAAAACTAATATCAAGTCAAATATCTTCCATTATGTTCGATGGCCTTTTGCCATCCTTCTGGTAACTTCATGATTCTCAACTCATAAAACTTCTGGTTTTTATTAGCAAAAAAACTCAAACAAACGTGATTTGAGGTTATCGTTATTACTGAAATTTTTACCATTTAAGAAATTATGTAAACTTTGAAATAAATGATAAGCCAGGGTTCGTACACATTTCTGCACATGGAAACTAATTACTTTTAAGGGCCATTAAAGAAGAAATTAACGACCTATCAGCAAATGGGAACTAAATAAATTCAATTAAAGATATTATCTGTGCCTGAACGTCACTTTTGTAATATCATCCTAAGACTAAAATAGTATCCTAAGACTAATCTGTAAGCAGTATGCATTACTATTAAACATGATTTAATAAATTTAATTATAAACTAAGTTGAAAGAAGATGAGCGACATTTTATTTATATTTTACTAGCAGTTAGCTTTTTGTTGATATTTTTCTTTTATGCCTCATTTTGTCACATACTTACGCAGTCTACAAGGTTTAGTAAATAGCAGGTAGATTTTATATCAAACAGCATAGGTTAAAATTAGAAGTAAAATTATAATCAGCATGATTTTTAAGAGAAGACTGGTTGTTGTCACTATTGCTGCTTGCCTACAGAGAGACCTGCTGATCAGAACAAACTTGAAAGCCTGATGTCAGCACGGCTGGCAAGTTTTGAAGGTTAGTTGTGCTCTGTCTGATGCAGTTAGTGTTATCATGTAGAGTTCTTGGGGTTTCAATGCAGTTAATAAACTTTAAGGTTCCAATACGCCACTAAAACACCATAGGTGATAGGATGTTTTGTATTGTTTTAACACTAGATACAAAGAACTGTGCTTTATTGAATTTATTAATTTTTTTATTTTTCAAATTCAAAATATTGTATAATTGTCGCCAAAATGAAAAGTAACGCCACTATATAATATGACATGAAAAATAAAAATGTTTCATTTTAATGTTATTTCTTAAATACAATTTCAATATATTACCATTATTTTAATGAAATTCATCAATGTTAATGCTCAAAGAAAATTTGTTGAAAAATTCCCAGATCTCCGTATTAAATTTTCCTATATAAACTGATCTTAAAATCACCAAATTTAGAACCATTTAATAAAAGAATTCACACACCCAAAAGCAAAAAGATCTCTTTACCAGAAAAAATGAAATTTCAAAATGCTAATGTTTCACTGCCCAAAAATTCATGTATCCCATTGTTTATATTAAAATTAGGAACAAATTATAAGCTATGACGCCATTCAAAAGATAACCATATTTGTCAGTGAATCACCAAAAATATTCTTCCAAAATGCTAATTCATACCCAATGGCAGTCGTAAAAACAGAGAGAAATTTCAGATGATTAAAATTAAGGATCTTCTGCCAATTTTGGTCGAAATTAAGGAGCATCAGTGAAATGGTGTGACAAGGTGGTTGCAATTGCTCCTGTCCATCAGTTGTTCCTTCCCGCATCCACCAATTCCATATTAGCATGACTTGCTTGGCTACATCTACCGTAATGACCAATATCTCAGAAGGATAATCTGCAATCTCTATAAACAACAACTCTGCCTCGGTCAAACTCAGAAACATACTCGAATGATGCTCGCGTTTTTCTATAAAGCATGCTGAAGCTGCACACACAAAAAATCTCACGAGAGAACAGTTTGTGTTATTCAAAACAGCAATCTTTCCTTACTTTTATGTATGGATTATAATGGAGTGATGCAGTCATCCACGTTGTGCGTGTGCACTGAAACCGTAATCATTTACATATTCCATCGTGGTATACACATGATGCAAGTTTTATGCTGTCTGAATGCTTCTTTTATGGTGTCGCACTTTGGGTGGCCAGCAGTTAATGACAGTTGCAAAATAGCAATATTATGAAAAATTCAAATTAAAGCATAATTAGATATAAGATACATAATTCAGTAAAAAATAAAAAATCATTACAAAAAACAATACAAAAATTATAACAAGCAACCGAACATATCCTATGCTTGAATCAAATTAACCTTAGCTTTGCTTTTCACATAATAATGGCACTCACTTTCTTATCTAAAGTTCTTTCTTTCACACATTTTAAAAGTTCAAAATTGATACTCGAAAAATTCTCCATAGCAGCACCAATAATAGCTAATACAACTTCACAACGTACATTTTCATTAGAATCAAGTTCCCTCTTCTGTAACAATCCTGAAATATGAACAACAATTTAATTATTTTTAATAAAAAATAAATGTACATTGAAAATTGCATTAATAAATACAAATTTAGACCCCTAAACAATACAAACATTCAAAACAGCCCCAAACAGTACAAAGCACAAGGAAGTTTCTCTAATTTCATTACCAAGGGCAATAATACATCTTTTGCTCTCTACTAAAGTAAACATAGTAAACAAAGTTATTAAAATAATTTAAATAATCAGTTTGTAAATGTATATTTAAAAACTAAATCAAAACCACACCTGTAATTTCCTCTTTAACTTCTGGATGATTTAGCAAAATGTCTTTACAACACTGAACACAAATAATTCTAACATCTGGACTGAAATCATTGAACCTGAAAACGTTATATGTGCTTATATCAACCAGAAAAAATTTAAAAATTAACATCACAATGAATTGCAAAAAACTTAAATGAAAAATGAATCTAAAAAATACTTTACCGTCTCAGGAAACAAGACCAGAGAGATTTGTTCTGTTCCAACAACATGGAATTTTTTTCACTGAACATACGAGCCAAAATTCTACAAACTTTTATTCTTTCTTCTTCTTCAAAAACCTTGGAAAATTTATTTAATCATTTAAGTGAAAACAGTTTTAATCATTTCAGCAATTATGCATACAAACTTTTCATTTCAAAAGAGTATACACATTTTTCATTTCAAACACATTTTAATCAAATTCCAGCTTTATATAAATTAGTAATATTAGTCATAATTTTATTTAATCAATTCTTAACTGATGTGGATTTTTCCCCAAGAAAAATTGAGAAGGTTGAAGAGGAATGGAAGGAGAAAAATGTAATTCTCCTAAATAGAAATTTCCTGCTTTCTGGGAGAATTGTATGACTTCAGAAAGTAATTCTAAAGAGATGCTCATGGGAGTGAAAAGTTTAACTAGAGCATAAAAAAAGAATGTTCCTAAAATAATCAAACCACCAAGAAAAGCATTTCCATGATAAAGCATTAAAAATATAAAATTTTCTCTTTTTTTAAATATCATAATAAAAATCTGTCTTCAGCAAATTTATTCCTTTCATGCAATATTGTTTGCATCCTTATTGTAATAGATTATATATAGCATTATATATATAAGATTTATATATAGCATTGTAATAAGTGTAATATTTATCGTAATACATGTGTAATAATTAATACTGCTATTACCATCTATCAACCCATTTTCCTTTTGCTTAAAGCAGCACGATGTGGTTCATGTTCATACTCGTGCTTGCTTATTTTTCTGATCCTGTACAAGTCAGCTTCTTTCAATGTATCGGGTTGTAAAAAGTTTCCTGCCACCATTAATATCATCTGTGAAAACATTTTCTGTTGACATGTCTAATCATATTTTGTCATTTGAAAGAAAGAGACTTGCTTTAAGACACTGTGTTGTGAAATTTATAAAAAAATATCAATATCATTAAGTACAAGGTGTCTGAAGAGGAACTTTCATGCTACCAGATTAGAACCATTATAATACTTCCACTTTTGTTGCAAAACGTCAGCTACAGAATGTCACTAAATCATGTGTATAGCTTCTTATACTAATGTTGCATCATATGGCACTGTGAAGGTTTGGTGCCGAAAGTTAAAAAACAAGGACTATGACATTCAAGAAGTAGAGCGCTCTGGCAGAGCTACTGATATTGATGAGGCCCGCCTGCAAGAACTTGTGGAAGATCAGTAAGCAACCACTAAAGAGCTTGCTAAAGAGTTAGATGCTAGTGCTACGTCCATTCGTCGTGCTATGCATTGCATAAACTTGAAGTGCAAGTTCAATCGCTGGGTGCTCCATGAGCTGAATTGATAAGGACAAAATTCTGGACCAGATCATCACTTGTGATGAAAAGTGGATTTACTTCACCAACACAGGCTGAAAAGGGGTTGGTCTGCACCCAGTGAACCCATCAGCAGCAGCATTGCAAAGCACGGTTTGACTAACAAAAAGATCGTGCTTTGTACCTGGTGGGATTACCATGGTATCGAGTGCAGGATTCTACATAGAGTGTCTGAAAAAAGGTAAAACCTTTGACAGTAAGATGTACACTGTGAAAAAAAAAGGACAGTTCTATATCTTCCGTTCTACTAGGGCAATTGACGACATTCAACTTGCGTTTTTAATGTCTTGAAAGTGCGATATAGTATATCTATTAGATTTATATATAGCATTGTTTTAATATAGGTATTTTAACACAAAATCTGACTTTTTCTGAAATGACATACCAATTTTTTTTCCATATTTCAATTCTACGACTCAAAATTATGCCAGACTACCAAGTTTCGTAAAAATCGCACCAGTAGTTTTTAAAATATGAGCTCTCAAAATTTTTGCTCCTCAATGTTAATTAAGTTTGGTATATACATTTATTCTCGATATTGAGAGATATCTAATCTCTCTTTTTTTATTAATCTTATTTGATTCTTCCTTTCACATTTCAAAATTCTGGTTCATTCCAAATAAAATTCACCCATTTTTTATGATTTATTTTTTAAACTTGCACTTTTAAATAATTTTTATAAATTTTTCAAAAAATTTTTCAGTTATAATCTATAAAAATTTTACCATCATCTTAAAGTAGACATATTTCTAAGCATAATTTTTTATTCAACATTTCCGAAGATATACGTGAATTTATATATTGGCACGTTTTGAAATTTGGCATATTTGTTGAAAGCGATAAAAACATCAGATGTGGTTTAAACACTTCGCTAAAATTATTTGGAAATAGAAACGATGCGACTTTTTTTACGCTCATACACAATGTAAAAAGGTAAGAACGAGGTGCTTTTTTTTCCACTCCTGCATAATGGAAGGGAAAGGAAAATTGGTTGTCATATATAAAAAGTTCACTTGGTGAACTTCTTATATATGTAAACTTCTTATATATGGCCAAGTTCTTGGCCAAACTGAAAAAAATTTCGCCAAGATAAAGTTTTGAATTTCTCCGTAAATTTTACAAAATTTAATATCTAGGCATAATTTGAGTCATATAATTAAAATATGGTAAAACACTGGTATGTTATTTCAGAAAAAGTTCGACTAGGTGTCAAAATACCTATGTTAGAATAATGCTATACTGTCAAAAGTCGTTAATTCGGACACCCATAATCCGGAATGATCTATAATCCGGACCTCAAAGCTAAGAACTTTCTGCGCATGCGCCGCGTTGGCACATGCGCAACAGGCGTTTTACGCGTGTGGTAAGACCTTGATACTGCGCATATGCGTGTGCGCAAGTGCAGAATACGTTTTCGCCTGCGCGTTTAATGTATAACGACTTTGTAAGCTACAATTATCTAATTATCTTTCAGTTAATGTTATGATTGCGTTGTTCCTTAATCTTCGAATTGGATCCCCTTATTATTTTTGCAGACTGTAAGAGCAATTTTTAAAAGTAAACTTGACTTTCGATTATGTCAAATAGAATTTCCGATGCTGGAACTTCCAAAGGATCTACAAACAAAAGTTTTCGATGTCCAACAAACAAAAAGTGGAATTGCTGCAAAAAATGGAAAAGACATGAAGAATGTGACAGAGAGGTAGTGAAAACGAAAAATTTCGATTGACAAGTTTAGTCGGTATTCTCGGCACAGCAATTAACGGGACTTGAACAGCGGAACTTTGTAACTGAACAGAATTATGTCTTTTTTATAGAATTAAAGAGAAAGTATTATCACATAAAATGAAGCAACTTAAACAACTTATTGAGAGAAATGTTTAATAAAGTAAACAAATAAATATTGTTTTTTTTTTTTTTTTTTTTTTTTTTGTAAATTTTGATATTCTTTAGATCATAATTATTCTTTATTTCATATTTTTAATTTTAGAATTTCTGCATGCCATCTTACGAGATTTAAACTGATGATCTATAATCCGGAAAAATCGATAATCCGGAATCGCCGAAGTCCCGACGAGTCCGGATTAACGACTTTTGACTGTATATAAATCTGATATACATACTTTCCAACCTATGACACTCAAAAATCAGGAGATTTTTCACAATGTTAAAAAGACTTTTTAAATGATAAAAATATAGTTTTTAATAACACATTAACTTTAAATAGTTACTAATTCTTAAATGCAAGCAACACAAAAATACCTTACAAATAAAAAAAATTTGTATTACTTGCACCGTTTAAAAGGAAAAAAAAAAAAAAAGACACTTTAATCAGTTTTCGTACAAATGTTATGAACAGTGGCAGATTTTGCTTTTGTTAAGAAAGAAACTTTATAATTTTGTTCATAGCAATTGCCACGTAGGCCAGCTTTCGCTAATGAAAGTTTTCTAATGCGTCATCACTAATATTAGTTATGCAGTTGTTGGAACTGTTTCAATTTTTCCTTCCTTTCAGAACTCCTTTCAAGATAATAATAAATATCACCAATGTGTTTATCCAAATTTATTAGTAAAGAAGCTGGCCCTTTTTCAGCTGTAAATTAAGAGGTGGACAGGTGCACCTCATAATTCTGCAAATCTGAATTTTCCTTTCTTAAGATGTGCCTGCAACGCCAGTCTTCAAGCCTACCATTACTGGTGCATTATCGGCACCAAGTGTTGAGCAATTATTCCAGAGGGACTGCATTTTCTTTTAACAGTTCTTAATAATTAGCTGTGTTATATTAAAGCCTTGTCGAATATCCTTCTAAAGTGGGGACAGAAAGTAAACTGCATTCTCAATTTCTGAAGACTTTGAATTAAAAAAAGAAACAACAATTGGATACAGTTTTGAATCGAAATTATTGCTTCCATCCATAGACAGGCAGTACGGAGCTGTTTTAATGCAATCAACTAACTGAAGATTTATTTTTCAAACAAATTTCTTTAACAATTACACCTGTTTTGTTTCTTGCACTTGAGTATTTCTTAGCGATTTCACTATCGGGAAACATTTTCCTAAATAAAGCTGCAGCGTGATCCGATGCATTCAGTGTCAGGTTATGCTCCAGTAAAAAGGCAGAGAACAGACATTCTGCAATAATAACTTTTCGGTACTTTGTTTCTGAAGAAAAATTTAATTTTACGGTTTTTTTTTTTTTTTTTTTTTTTTTAAATACCTTACAAATATTTACAATCTTGTATTTTTGTGTACGCACATGTTTGAGAACATCCGCCCGTCCACCATGCAAAATTGAAAAATCGCAACGACAGATGTACACATCGCAAATTATTACATTTCTTGAGGAAATAATGGAAGGAAAGTCACTGTGTACGATTTTGAAACGTACATGAATATTTCACAGACATAACAAAAGATGATAATTTCTAAAACTATTTCCCGAAGGCACGTGTACTCACACAACTCAGGGCAAGATGAACGAAATAACTAAAGAACATACAACTAACAGCTTTGAGCTTGCTTTGTGCTCATTGGCTGATATATACCACTTGACACGCAGTGGAGCTTGATGCCCATTGGAGAACTGGAGAACGACGTTTCTGGATACGTATGCTCTCACTCACAAAGCAGAAATTCTCATCTGATTTGCAAAGTTTTATTTTAGATATAATCAAGATAAAATTCAATTGCTTTCAGATGTCTAAAATCACCCCCCCTTTTTTTTTGTTCATATAATGAAGTATTAAGCCAAGTTCCATAAAAATCGTAAGAAATTTTAAGAATAAGAAAAAGTCGTGAGAAATATGTTGTAAATCGGGTTGGCGGGAGAGTGGCTGAAAATCGGGAGTCTCCCGCCTAAATCAGAAGAGTTGGCAACTCTGGATATATATCCCAAGTCACGCTTTCAAGACATGAAAAACGCAATTAGAATTTTGTCAATCAGCCTAATAGAACAAGAGATATAGAACTGTCCCCCTTTTTTTTTGCGCAGTGTACAATGAGATGTTAGTCTGTGTTGACACTGCTATCAAGGAAAAACATCGAATTGAGTTCCAGCACAAAAAGGTAATGCTCTATCAAGGTAATTGAAGACTACATGTGTCTGCATTCACTGGCTGGACTGTGTACGGACTCAAATGGGATCTTTTGCCACTCCCACCGTATAGCCTCGACATTGCTTCTTCGGACTAGTACCATTTTTTAACAATTGCAGTTACATCTTGCTGGTGCTATCTTCCATTCTGCACAGGACGTCCAAAATGAAGTTGATCTGTTTTTGGAACCACGGCCAAGTTTCTGAGCCAAAGGCTTTGAAAAAACTACCAAAATGTTGACAGAAAATCATAGATTTGGGTGGTGATTACTGCACTAAAGGTACTGTTTTTGTGGGTTTTTTATTTATTAAGAACTTTATTAAGAACATTCCCCCCTCCCAGAAAACTTTCTTTACAACTAGATATTTAATTCACTTCTTTGGATTTCTTTTCAAAATATAAATATCAAACTAATGCAAAATAACATTCTCTATATGTGAAAAGAATTTACTGCATTATTCATCAACACGTACACTTGCATGAAAAACATTTCTGACTCCACTAAAAAAAATTTTGAATCAATCAACTAAAATTGTATATTCAGAAAAGCTCTAACTGCATGATTTTTCAGCAATTATACATCAACATAGAAGCAGGTAATCATTTGGACTTTTACACTCAAATGCTCAGAAGTAATGTGATTGTCAAATTGTTGGAGCCAAGAGACAATATTTCTGAAATACATGCTAAAATGGAAAATATCTCTCCTGATTGGAAGAACAAATTATCAGGTAACGAGCCTGAGAACTCCTCTTCTGTTAACCATTGCTGGCTGCTTCTGGTGCAGTGCAGCTGAAACTCTTTGTAGTTTTGATGAATAGACCTAGCTGTTATGGTTTTTCCACTTTCTAAATATACATACTGGAATACGCAAGTGCTGGTCCACCAAATACACAGTATTACTTTCTTTTAATGAATGTCCAGTTTAGCAGCCAATGAGACTTAACCAGAAGTTTATCAATGATGTTTCATCTTCCAGTTATTATATATGATCCATTTTTCGTCATACATCAAGATTTGGTACAGGAACAAGGCTTTGCTATGGTGCAACAGCAAAGAGAAGCCCGTTGAAGCTTGTTTTCCTCAGACAGGACATGAATAACTCACTTGCTTAATTTTCATGGCATTCCATTAGTTTATGAAGACTTGATCGAATGGTTTCATCAGATGCTGCAAACCTGTGTGCAAGCTCCTGGCAGGTCTGAAGAGGATTCTACTTGATTTCTTCCTCCAGCTGGAATTTGTCAAGGTGGATGAACCACTTCTGAGCAGTCCACTTGCTCACTGACATCTCTCCAAGGATGGAGCATATTCTTTTAATGGCATCTGCTGCTTCTTTCCTTATTTGTACTCATAAAGCAAAATAGGCCTTAAAATATTTTTTTCCAACAACATGTTCTTTCAAAGCTTAGCTTCCTACAAGACTAATAGCAAAATGTGTGATGCACTGAACAACTCTCTACTGAGTAAACTTTGAAAGGAATGTCATTAGAATCAAATTGACCACACTAATGTGCCAAAAGTAACTGTTCTCAAAAACCGCACAAACTTTCTCAGTTATCTGATATACACTTGTTCTATTTGGCTGATATTTTTCAGCAGCTCAATAAAATCAATCTTTAAACTTAAGAAAAAGCATATATGTCATAAAATTCATTGGTTCTTTAAAAACGTGCATAAGCAAGTTATAAAACAGAAAAGTCAATATTAATAAAATGTAAAGGTTGAGAAACTTACATCATTCCTAGATTTAAATAAACAAATGCTTCCACAGCTTCTCAATAATACAAATTTTCAGCATTCGAAAGGACTGGATATTTATATTTCAGCCAGTATTTTTCTACAGTCAATGATGATAATTTTAATCTAGAGTGAAATCTGTTTAAATATTTATATAAAAGAAGTTCTTGATGATATAAAGATCAATTTCTGGAGCTAAAAATAAAAAAATAGATAATGGACAAAGAGATACGAGTTTGGCCTTTTATAACTTCAGCTAATCCACCAAGGGATTATTTCCACGTATTTAAAAAGCCTCAATAATTATTAAAACAGGTTCCTAAAGGATCATTATTATATAATTAAACTGAAAAATAACAAACAAAATATTAATATATAAAACTTACTTCTATCTTAGCTTCCAACTGTGGTAAAACAACAACAAGCATGGAGGGACAAATGGTATTGAGCTCATACGTAAGTTCATATACTTGTCGAGAAACACCACTTTGGAATGTTTTGCCTTTAAGTGCATTATTGAAAAACTATAATAAAAAAATTAAAAAGAATTTATGTAGTACCAGCTTAGAGGAAATTTGCTTAAAGAAAGCTCATACACATATAAAAACTGAATGAAGCCTAAAACATTATTTTCTAGTTTTTACTAATTCCGGCAACAATGCAGCCTTTTAATCTACAGTTAATAAAAGTCATTTAAGTTTCCAAATGTATACCATGAGATGCAGCTTATTAACCAGATGTGAAAAACAAACAAACTTCTATATTCCCACAATAATTATGACTGTATGCACATAAATACATTTTCCAAACAAATGTAACTAAATGGCAAGAGAATAAATTTCATTATTTTTGGAATATCATATACATTATCAGGTTATATGTTGCTTTTCTTAACTGATTTTTTTCCCTGTGATAGCCATAAAAATATAAGCAGCAGACCAGAGCCAGCATTGATTAAAATATAACTCCCTCCCCACCAACTGATACACAGATTTTCCTGTTAAATTTCTCTCAGCTCTGCTTTTAATGACCTTGCTCTGAATAACGATGTTCCATGGCAGCTCTTATACTCAGTTTTTTTTTTATTTTCATTACAATAGTTAAAAATATAAAAGTAGTTATGCTACCAGTGTTTTCTAACTTATGAGAAGTTGCAATGTTTTATAAGTGAGGAAACAAATAGTTTGGAAAGTACATTTTGCACAGTATGTGAAGTCATATCATGTGCAGTATATTTTATTATTTACTAGCAGCTACCCGGCCAGCCTTCGTATGGCTTTTAAATGTACCGGAAAATGCCTAAAGTGAACACCAAACATTAAATTTAAAAACTGCGCAGAATTTTACTCTGCAGAACAATTTCATTTAAAAAAATGTATTATATATAACAAAATTACAATGAAATAAGCAATATCCCTTAATACAAATATTAATTTTCCTAATAAATAAATTAACCAACTTCCCATTGCAAAATCTTAAGAATTCAAATGGTATACAGGACATAAGAACTTTGTTTTCTAAAAAAATCATGCAAAACTTTTTATATAATTAAAATTATATATAATTAAAACATAATACAAAAAATTACAATGAAATAAGCAATAAATCTCATATTTTCAAGATAAAACAGTCAGCAGTCCAGTATCCAAAGCAATGAATGAAAAACTGTTGCCAAAATCATATTTCTAAAAGAATGAAACTATCAACAGGAAGCAATAACAAATCAAAATTGTGTTTTGTGGATGACATAATTCAAAATATACAAACCTCTTTGCCATTAGCTAATAAAGACAGAGAGGGGGGAAAAAAGAAGAAATTCTTCCTGTTGTGCCTCGCGAGACACATGCACGTCAGAATAAGAAGATAGCGATGTGCTTATTGCATGTCCAAAAGTCAAAAGAAAAAAAGCAGCATTTAATCTCATATTTTCAAGTCAGCAGTCTGAATGAAAAACTGTTGCGAAAACCACATTTCTAAAAGAATGAAACTATTCAAAATGATGCGATAAAATCGAAAAGATAAAATTTAAAAAATTCTGATTCGAATTTTGAAAAAAAATCACTTCAAGGTGCACTGGTTCTTGTCTAGATGCATCTATATATCAAATTTTGTAGCCTTGGATCTATTAGCCTACGCGCAGCACGAACGAAAGACACGCAGACTCTTTCTTTTATTATATGTAGAGATTAATAATTAAGACTGATAATGTCTTATTCTTCCAGATTTATCAATTTAACTTTACCAAATTTATATGATATAAGCAATGTATCCTGCTCTACATAGCATTCACCATTGAGTTTTCAAATACCTGTAGTATATATTGGAACGAATTACTATCGGATGTGGGAGTACCACTGCATTTAAATTTACAAGAAACTAATTTCAGGATTTTGGAAAGACATATAAATAATGAAATAAAACATATTACTAGGGTATTAAGTCTAAAATTTTAACACAAATTACAAAATAATGTAAAAGCAGAAAATTAGATTTATTAAGATAAAAAATATACTAATATTCGTATCATTATTTGGTAGTACTTACTTCTTGTATATATGGCTCTAGTGTGGATACATTTCGTTTCAAAATATCTTGTGCTAAAGAACATGCACTTCGGTTCTGTGACTGAAATACATATAATAAAAGTTTAAAATTAAAAAAGTTATTAAAAAATAAAATATAAAACTAACAAAATACGGGGGAACATGACTTACTTTAATTGGCTCAACAATCTGACTTAATATAACATCTAGCAGATCTTGAGATACAGTGTCAACTTCACTTATCAGTGGACTCAACATGTCCAGAAAAAATCTCTTCACTTTTGAAGAATGATTATCACTATTAAATGGGAGAAAAAAAAAATTTAATATACAAAATACTACTCAAGAAACTTTAATCAAAACAAAAATTGGGTAATTATGTATCTAATACTATGTAACCTGGGTTCATGAACGTAATTTATTTTGAAAACTATTTGTCATCTGAAATGATTACAAACCAAAATTATCTTTTCCCATAGGAATTAATGTGAAATGCATTAATCTGATCCCAGATCACCATTGAATGCTTATTTAAATTTTACAGCAATACTTCATTCATAAATTCATAACTCAAAAAATTGATTTTTCTGAGGGATCTTTCATTTTTTCTTTGTCTTAAAGCCATCAGACTCTGCTTTACACTTACTCGGCTTCCATTTCACTCAAAATTGGTCCAAAGTGATTTGTTGTTAGGTTTTAAAATGTTTCTAAAGTGAAACATGCCACAGTCAAAGAAAATGCTTTTGATGTAGCTACTGCTTTATCAGACTGATATCATCACACGAACACTCTCTAACTTACTCCATTTTGCACAAATTTCGCCGATCAAGAAACTAGAACCAATATCTTCTTCTTTCATAAGAAAAAAAAATTTTAAAGCGGTTCCAGTTCTTTCTTGTTAAATTCATTTTTACTGTCCTGTATTAACATTTGGACATATTCACTGTTAACTTCCAAGCCTATAATTCGTAGAGACACCATATAGCAGAAAATAAAGTCATATGTGTTGATGCTTTCAAAGTCTTTCCCTGAAACACAATCTAACAATAATTTGCCCCAACATGAATTCATAACCATTAAGTCACTTGCTATGAAGATTTATAAAGCAATGGAAAATATTAAAATGATAATTCCAGAAGTGCCTGGGTGTTAATTTTGTGTCACAGTTAGTTTCCCAAATAACTAGATAATGACACAAATTTCTCAACATAGGTAATTTTTTTTAATTTAATAACATTTTTAAAGCAAATTGGGATTTCCATGCCAAGATGATAAAAAATCCTTTTCTAGAGAATTTCATGAAGGGAAAAATGCATCAATATCATAATGTAATACACAATATTGGAATAGAACAAGTAAATTACATTATGTTTTCACTATATTCGTCTTACATTCACCAATACTTCTTTAATCAAGCAAGTTTAGGTAGTCTTAACAGTAAATCTATATCTACCTCTAATTCTACAGACTCTTTAAAACTTGAAGAATTTTAAACAGACAGATGGGAAAAATCAAAGCATGGATCAATTTATTTTTATGCTAGAAAATCAAGAACAGAAAAGATATTCAAATCATAATTTCTCATACAAAAAGAGTTTTATATATTTTAATAATAGTACTAATCATATCAATACATTCATTTCTTGGTTTTAACTAGTGACATGGCAAAGAAAAAAATGTCATCAAGTTTAGTCAACCCCTCCACACTTTTAAATAATGGGATTTTAACAGAAATAGTAAGAAGGGGGAAGAAGAGAGAGAAGGGAAAAAAAATGGGAAGAACTCATATTTAGTTTATTTCCAAAAATACAATTTTAAAAAAAGTTGCTAATTTATTTCCAAGATAATCATGAATCAGCCGTAGTAACTTAATACTGCTGGGAATGTGATTTCTGAAACAGCTGTCGATACAAAGGACTATTTTTTTAGCAATTTTTCACACTATACCTTCATATGGTTTTTGTAATACTATATGATTCCATTTCATGGCTATTTTTGCATATCTGTGAAGAAGGTAAACACCCTTCTTGGAAGAATGCAATAACTTCATTTTTATTTGATGGTAAACTGAAATTTGCCCTAATTTTGAATCAGAAAAAAGAAAAAGATTTTTGACTACCCCCTTAAAAAAAAGGTATTGGGTTTCACACTTGGTGATGAAAGTCGCCAGACTTTCCTAGGCATGGAAAAACCGACAATTACTCAATTATGTGTTCTTGCTTTATCTTTATGAAGAATATCAATTGCAAAACTATATATCCATTAACATAAACATTTAACAGAACGCATCGAAGATTAACATTACTTACACGGAAAGGGAAGTATGATTCCCATTTTACATCAATTTTTAAGCACAAATAAATTAAATAAAATGACAAGGATAAACAATCTTTTTTACATAATTTCCTTTTCTATACAATTATCCCGTGATCTTGAGTTTTGTACCAACTACTATACAAAGAAACAGCAACACTATCAAGAAATCCAAAAGCTTTTAAGCAACTTAAATAACTGAAATGGGAAGTGTTCAGATCTCAACCACAGGAAGAAATTCCCAAGCCTTTTTTCCAGCTTCTATCTAATGTAGGAAATTCATGTCTCTAATCAGATGAAGTATTATTACTGTCCCCAAAATATCTTTAGTTGGTTTATCTACCCAGCAATAACTTCCTCTGATCAATGTATAAAATTCTAATAATTCAATCAGCATATTTGTATGGGTATATTACAGCCCCAAATCTTCCAAGTAAAGTAACAGCTTTCAGTAATTCCACTGCAGGATATAGCAATATTTCTCTTACTGTGATGAATATATAGCTTCACGTGTAAGAGCATTTTGTTTTACATATTAATCCTAATGAATCACAGAACCACATTTTTCTTTCTGCACTAAACAGCATATGATATATCAGAATGACTAGGCAAAACCAACATTTGTGTTCCCGATTCAAATATTTCAACATACCATGTATACATTTCCTGTAACACAGATGATCATCCTGACTAAAGACCTGAAGGAGAATTCCACATTTTTTGTTGTCTATCTTTTCCAATCATTTATTCCACCTCAGATGTTAAAAGTTTCACATATGCTACTACGATGCATGTTACTGAGTTTTATCTTTCCATGCAAAAACACTCAATGCTACTCAATCATGAACTTCACACTTACTACCGGTTCACTGCAAACTTAAATCTAATGCCATTAAACTTCAATAGAAAAATATGCTCAACCCAATACAGTACAAAGTCCGTACCGAACGTCCATTATTCGGACCTCAAAGCCACAAACTTATGCATACGCATGCGTCCGCTACGCATGCATGTAAAGCGTTTACCCATGCGCACTTCCGAGAGTGAAGAAAGTGACAGAGAGGTTATTGAAAACGAAAAAATTTTGATTGACAAGTTAGTCAGTATTCTCGACACCAATTACAGGACTTGAACAGTGGAGCTTAGTAACTGAACAAGAAATTATGTCTGTTTATAGAATTAAAGAGAAAGTATTAGCACAAAAAACGAAGCAACTTAAACAACTTGCATTGAAGGAAATGTTTAATAAAGTAAACAAATAAATATTGAGCTTTTTGTAAATTTTGATACCCTTTAGATCATAATAGCTCTTTATTTTATGAATTACGGTTTCATATTTTTAATTGTATAATTTCTGCATACCATCTTACCAGATTTAAATTGATGATCTATAATCCGGAAAAATGTGCCATCATTTATGTTAGTTTCAAATCCTTATTTTACCTTCTCTAGTCCATATTTAGTTTCATTTCTTGCAAAATATTTACAGCTGTTAGAAGGGGAGCAAAAATTAAATTCTTATGTTCTGAGTCGCTCTGAATATGAGGAATTAAAATTAAATACAATGAAGTTTTACATGGAATCTAATTTTTGACTCGATCAAATAATATTCTTAATTTTGAAACACTACCAATGCCTTGCACCTGGTAGATAGATACAGTACAAAGTCCGAAATCCGGACATCCATCATCCGGAATGATCTAAAATCTGAACCTCAAAACCACCAACATTTTTCTTCTAGGCTTTACGCATACGCATTTAATTCCCCCCCCCCCCCCCCGCATAATAAAACATTTGGAGAGTCCCGATTCTCAATTTCATTTCAACACTAAATAAAATACCTTGTTATTGAAGAAACAAACATTTTAGCAGAAATTTTTACCATCAGTAATGGCTTCGCTGCTGCATATCTCGTTTCTGGCACACATCTCAAACCAAAACATTCCACATAGATACATCATTGATCTGATGACAACCCGGCGAATCATTATTTATTATACTTTCCTTTGATCACCGCATGGTTATCAAAACATGACAACTTGAGTAATGACTCATGTAGAATTTTTTTATGTTAATAATTGAATAATAAAGGAGTATGACAATCTTTTATGCTAACATTATGCTTGGCAATGATTACAGATTTAAGTTTGCTAAAAAATGATGACGAGGAAAAATTTACCAAAAATTTCTTTCCATATGCTAAAAAATAGATTTTGTTGATGCTACTCATAGACCCAAAGAGATTACATTTAGGGCTATTTGAATTAAAAATAACCGATTTGTTTTTCACATAAACCCAGAACCAGCGCCAGGGCTCGTACGCTGCACAGAGTCGCAGAATTTAGGACCCACAGAGACAGCATCAGGCGGTAAGGTATCTAGCGGCGGCCCTTAATAAGGCTTAAATATACGTGGGAATTTTTTTATTCAGAACTCCGATAAGCCTTAAGCATGTGCAAAAAATAGACATAAGTATAATAAATAACTAATACAATTCAGGTTTAATTGTCTCAGTGCTCGATAGAAGCAAGATAAAATTTAACGGAACAACTTGTCATTAGTCGCCTAGCTCATGATGCATAGCCAAATATGTATAGTGAAGGATAGCTACATTTGATGATGATATAGTCGTGAATTTTAAAGGTTTTCGGATATTGCAAAACAAAGGTGAAATTTTCCACTTAACGGATTTTGTAAAGAAATGTGGAGAAGCGGTAATAAAATGAAGATGATATAAAAGAAGTTTTTCACTGTAATAACAATGCTTTTCAATCATCAGTCAGTTAATGAATGATGAAATCTGTAGTATAGTTCTAGATTCAGAAAATACCGCTACTGATAGCATACTTGCCAACCTATGACACTCAAAAATCAGGAGATTTTTTTAAGAAATCGGGAGATTTTTCACAATGTTAAAAAGACTTTTTAAATAAGGAAAATATAGTTTTTAATAATGAATTAACTTTAAATAGTAACTAATTCTTAAATGCAAGCAACACAAAAATACCTT